AGGAATGCAGATGAAGCATCAGACCAGATATTTTTGCATGGCTCAATAACGAGCTGGGAGTGAATGTCACACGGGACTGTGCCCACTGAGCAAGCGACGTCTGTGGACATACAAAACAGGTTGATATCACGTCCGTCCATACAGGCCATAATCTGAACGTCCATTGACAGCCAGAATTAGTCGATTAATGACAATGAGAAATGATGTCCAATCTGGCCATAATCTAAACGTCCACTGACAGCCAGAACTAGTTGAGAAAAGACGTTCATACTGACTATAATCTGGACGTCCGGTGACATCCAGAGACAGTCATAAATGACGTGAATAAAGATGTCCAATTGGCCATAATCTAAACGTCCACTGACAGCCAGAACTAGTTGAGAAAAGACGTTGATACTGGCTATAACAGTTAACAGTTAACATCCAGATTTTGTCAATAAATGACAGAAAATATGTTTAGGCCACAAGAATGTCCACAAATCAAAAAAAGATGTTCACAATGCGGATATAGCCAGAAATGACAGAAAAAAAAGAAAAAGAAAAAAGAGACAGCATGGCTAAAGGCTATTTTTTTAATTATTATTTAAATGATTGTAAGAAAACTACAACAAAACACAAAAACATTAACAACCATCATCACAACATTACCACATTAGAGTCCCTCAGTCCAGACTAATTTAAGTCTTTCAATCCAGATTAAGTGCAAGTCTTACACAGCCACTGTTCTTATAGCTTTTCAGTTTTTAGATAACTCAATAGACTCATTTTCATTTAATGTTTAAATCTTATTGCATTTAAAAAATTTACATTTGTGAACGTGAAATTTAAATAACAGAAAAAGCAAGGTTTATAAAATAAATATCACTTATTCACATGAAAACTAAAATTATTTCTATATGTAAATCCAAAGTTAGGATTCACATAACATTTGATAAAATCACAAATGTCACACCAAAATGTCACTGTGAAAGAGCAGTTCCAAAATAAGTCTCATGTTTTTCTGAACAGAAAGAGTATGTCATTCTTAAGTCTTTTGAGAGAGCACTTAGTAAAACCTATGAATTAACTTAAATTCTCTAATTTTGTTGGTAGCCTAATGTCCAAGCTTTTTTTCCACGGAATGATCAGTTCAGACTCAATTAAATGGATCAATTGACAGACTCCTCCCAAAACAAGACTATAAATTTCTTATTGTTTTTTAATTTAGATGAAGAATGCCACTGAGCAACAAAGAGATGAAAAAGGTTGCTATATGGCTATTGGGGACAAAGGCAGATGGTGACACTTCTTCCAGTCCATATGGAATATCGAAAGTTTTAGATAAAATTATATTTATTCTAGAAAAAATTTATTAATTATCTTTTTTTTCTGTCTGTTTGAGGGTGATGGGTAGGCTATTTCATAAATGGGCCTTTGAAGGCCATGGTTCCAAAATATCATGTTCCAAGCTGACCAACTTGACCTCAGCAAATGTGTAAATAAAATCAATTTCACCCATATACTCTATTTGTCCAATTTTTTATAGACTATATTTTGTTGTTATTTGTTATTTATTTATTATGTGTATGCTGTTTAGTAAAATTATATTAAAAAGTAATATATGCATATTTTTCAGATAATAGTGTTTTTTTTTTCTCTCGGTTTTTTTTTTTCTGGTGAAAAAGGCGGTTATTAGGTACTCTTTCCGGATTCAAGTAGATTGTGATATACCTCCCCTGTAGAAACACAGTTCTACCTTAGTGTTAATAAATAACAGGGACGGTCAACTTTTTTTAACTTTTATAACATGATACTGAGATTTTTTATATTGATCAAATATGCTCGGAATACAGAGTTTCCAGTTCTGTGGCGGACGGATATGTGACTGCAGTCCGGTCCGCGCAGCAGTCTCCGGCTCTCCGCAGTCCGCACCTTAACTGTCTGAAGGCTGTCTTCGTCTCGTGTCGCTGTCTCGCACTTGACTATCAAGGACTTGTAAGTATGTTGTAATATTGGTAATAATATAGTGAGTGATTCCCGAAATGTTATCATAAATTTTTTTTCGATAGTCGCAGTTGCTCCAGTCAAGTCATCAATCAAATGTGTTTTCCTCTAAATGGACGTGCTAGCTAATCAACTACTTAAGCTAGCTTAGTTTGCGCCAATCAGCCTCAAACCGGACTTTCTATGGCAAGCCGTTTTAACACTAATTTAAACCGACTAAGTTAGTATTTTAATACTAACGTTACTTATTTTTTAGATACTATTCCATTAATTACTAGTACTTATTCATTAGCAACTATATGCTTATTCTTTAGCTAACTTACTAGTCAGAACACAGTTCAATTAAAAATGTAAAATAAATAATCTTGCTAGTAATATTTGGAATAAGTTACTAGTATCTAATATAAAGGTACTAGTATTGAATAAGTACTAGTAGTAGCAAGTTAATAAGTACTAGTATCTAATTAATTGATAGTACTAGAAATAAGTAGTATCTTTTGAACAAGTACTAGTATCTATTGAATAAGTGTCTAAGGAATAAGTACTAGTATCTATGAATAAGTACTAGGCTAATAAGTAAGGAATAACTAGTATCTATTGAATAAGTACTAGGCTATTGAATAAGTGTCTAAGGAATAAGTACTAGTATCTATTGAATAAGTACTAGGCTAGTGTCTAATGAATAAGTAGAGTCTATTGAATAAGTAATGAACGACTACTAGAGTCTATTGAATTAGTAATGAATAAGTACTAGAGTCTATTGAATAAGTACTAGAGTCTAATGAATAAGTACTAGAGTCTAATGAATAAGTACTAGTATCTATTGAATAAGTACCAGTGTCTAATGAATAATTACTACTATCTAATAATAAGTACTAGTATCTATTGAATAAGTACCAGTGTCTGATGAATAATTACTTGTGTCTAATGAATAAGTACTAGTGTCTAATGAATAAGTACTAGTGCCTAATGAATAATTACTACTATCTAATAATAAGTACTAGTATCTAGTGAAATGAGACCCATGCTAATTAATTCACCCCTTTCCTCTCTCTTTTATGTTCTGTGGCCAGGATCTCTCATTCATCAGTGCAGCTACCAAGAATAGTGAGTATTTGTCCTCTACCTCCTTTGTCTCAGTGTTATTTCAACACAATTGGTCTCCAAAGTCAGATATATAATGTGTGTGTGTATATATATATATATATAATTAGAGGTGTAACGGTTCACAAAATGCACGGTACAGTTCAATACGATACACTTATGTAACGATTCGGTTCGTTTTCGAAACAGCAAAAAGAAATAAATGGCAGATAAATTTCCTTGATTTTATTTTTTTTCTATTCATTTTTTTTTTTAATTAAAACTAACATCATAAAGTATCAGGCGTGAGTTCCGCTTACATTAGGTTTTTCATTTGGTGTTGGGCAATGGTGTGTAGGGCTGGGCGATATGGTATATCGACAATGTCTCGCAAGTACCGCGATGTCGATTATAACAGTCTGTTACAGACGATAATTGCCAATGTCAAAAAATGACATATTTCACATAGCCCTATAGTTATAGCCTACACGTATTCACATGCAATAACATGAATGAAATATTTTTTATAGACTAGTTAACAGTGTTGGGGAAGCTACTCTGAAACTGTAGTTTGACCAGCTACAAGCTACTCGTAAGTTAAAGTAGTTAAACTACAGTCAAGCTACCCTTTTGGAAAAGTAGTTAGCTACACTACAAGTTACTATCAAAAAGTAGCTAGCTACATTGAAACTACTTTTGATTTTTTGAACAACGTATATATATTATAAATAACTGAATAAGTGTCTGAGGAATGTTTTAAGTAAAATATTTAGAGTTTAAAACAATGCAATACAATTATGATTTCAAAGAGTATTGTGTTATTACACACAACACTCAAATATCTCAGACTGTATGTCAAAAGTGCAAAATTGCAACAAATAGCCTACAACATTGCAAGAACAAAATATACATTCAACATAAATTGCATCTAGAACATTTTCTCAAAAATACCGATTGAATTTGGACAAATAAGGCCATGGGTAATTAACGTTAGTTGTTTGTCCATCCTCCAAACTGCCGTCACGTCTTGCTCCATCATGGATAATCATAATATGGGTGCGTCAACCCACTTCTGTACGTCAGTGAACCGTTAGCCGCAAGATGCATGATTAAACAACAGGTGGCGGTAATTGCAAAAAAAATTTTTGTAATCTAACAAGAAGAAGAATATCCTTGCATCGCGGTGATCGTGCTGATTCGCGCAGGCTTGACAAACACAATGTAGCTTTTGCTCACACTACACCGCTACTTGATGCAAAAAGTAGTTAGCTACTGGAAAAGCTACACTGTTTAAAAAGCAACTGAGCTACTGCCAAGCTACTGAAAAATGTAGATAAGTTAGTAGTGTCGCTACTTGTAGTTAACTACTCCCCAACACTGCTAGTTAGTAGGACTAGGAATAGAAAATTGATTCTTCTTGATGGCATTCTTTAAGCGCAAGACATGAGAGAACGCGTCTGCATGCGCGCTGTTTTATGTGCTGTGCACTTTCACAAAGCGTGACTCTCATATATTGCACAGACAAAATATTTTTAATATTACTGGGTTTTGTTATGACACTTTTAATTTTGTGATGTTTTGTGATCTTTGTAATGGTTACAGATGGCTTATTTAAGAATGTGGAGAAAACGTAAAGCAGACATCAATGAACTTCTCCAGTCTGACGATAACAACGCGGTGACAATTGACAACGCAGTGACGACAAATGACAGAGAGGAAACAATCAATGATGATGGTGGAAGCAATGCTGATGAACACAGCACCAGTGTTACCACTGATGGTACAGACTTTGACACAGACACCGGAATGTGTGACTCTGATGTGGAGATTTTGAATCCCGAACCAGAGGTCGAAGTTAGAAACCTAGGCGATGACTTGCAAGAGTGGAGTACAAGACACCAAATTACTAATAGGTCCCTAAATTAATTATTGCAGATTCTAAGGGATCATGGACATGTACTCCCCAAAGATGCACGCACATTACTAGCCACTCCTCAAGTCATTGACAGCCATTCAAAATGCAATGGACAGTATATATACTATGGCTTGGAGGGGGGCATTTCCCGTGTACTGTGTCAAAATGATGCTTTCAGACGTCAACACAGTACGGTCAGTTTGGATGTCAACATTGATGGACTACCAATCTTTAAAAGTAGTAAAGTCCAGTTCTGGCCAATACTTGTGACATTTAGCAATTTCAATCCATTTATTGTGGCATTATATTGCGGGGAACGCAAGCCTGAGCCCCTTGATGAGTATCTCCATGACTTTTTGGAGGAGTTCAATAATCTCCAACAGAATGGCCTGGTGTTTTGTGAGAAAAAGTATGCCATAAATATTCGTACCTTTATCTGTGATGCACCGGCAAGAGCATATTTAAAATGCATTAAAGGTCATACTGCATATGACAGTTGTGAGAGGTGCCAAGTGAAAGGCCAGTATGTCGAAAGAAGAGTTGTCTTTAATCAGCTGACATCCACCTTGCGCACAGATGAAGCATTTAGTCAGATAGAGTATTCCCGCCATCAAAATGGGTCTAGCCCTTTAATATCTGCCGGGATACCCTGTGTCAGTGCCTTTGTTTTAGACTATATGCATACGATTTGCTTGGGTGTTGTTAGGCGGCTGTTGGTGTATCTGACTAGAGGCCCAAAACTGTGTAGGCTCTCTGTGAGACAGAAAATTGAAATCTCACAAAAACTGAACGGGCTACAAGGCCAGATGCCCAGCGAGTTTGCGCGACAGCCCCGTGGCCTTCAGGAGTTGGACAGGTGGAAAGCCACAGAGTTCCGTCAGTTTCTTCTTTACACGGGACCCATAGTTCTCAAAAATACTGTCTCCTCACAGCTGTATGCTCATTTTGTGACATTGACCGTGGCAGTATCCATCATGTTGGACTCAGATGACAGGACAAGAGCTGCCTATTTGGATTTTTCTACTGAACTGATGAGGCACTTTGTCTCTAGCTGCCCTGCACTCTATGGAAAAACATTTTCTGTGTACAATGTGCATGCCCTGTTACACATCCATGAAGATGTCTCTCGTTTCAGGTGCTCTTTAAATGACATTTGTTGCTTTCCATATGAGAATTATTTGCAGCAGATCAAAAGATTGGTCAGGACTGGCCAAAATCCATTAGCGCAGGTGTCCAAACGCCTGGTCGAAATCGAACATGCCCAGGGAAATTCCAGTGCAGGGCCAAAAGCTAAGCCCCAAATGTACATTTCAACAAAAAGGAGAGACAGCTGCTTCCTTCTGGACGATGACAGGTTTGCTTTTGTTCAAGAGAGGAGGGGAGATGGGACGGTTGTTTGCGATGTGATAAAACAGAGACACACTGCCGCACTGTTTGACAAACCATGTTCGTCAAAGCTCTTGAACATTGCTTACATAGGGAATGGACATAGATTTCAAAGAAAAGAAGTCAAGGAAACAGACCTCGGACGAAAAGTAGCCTGTCTATCTTTCAACAATGGCTCTGTCATGATTCCTCTGCGGCATGGCATTGAACGTTCATGTTGAAGATTGGCAAGTCATAAAATGCATTGAGTATATACTGGGTATGTATATATATGAAATGTGTATTTCTCAACTCAATCTAGAAACAAGCAACAACTAAATGCACTGTGTTTTCAAATTGAAATAATTTTTATTTATTTTTTAAAATATTGACATCTTTACATTACTGTAGGCTTGTTATTTGTCTTAATAGTACAACAGTAAAAAATAAATGTCATATTTACCTGTGCCCCTACTGTCTTAAGGCTGGACAGATACCAAAACTGAATTCAGTTAACAAACAGTCTGCACTGCATAAATTATAAATGAAATATAGACTAATCCTTATTAAAGCTACAAAAGTTTTTTAGTCAAGAGCAGTCAGTAATTTTCTCTGTTTTCTTTGTACTTTGTTTCATAGTCTTTCTTGACATCGCGATTGTGATATATGTGATATATTTATATATATATATATATATATATATATATATCTAACATTCATTTATTTATTATATTATTTTTTGTTGCAGGTTATGCTTTTCGTCAGAGCTGTGTGGAATGAAAATGGGAAGGAGATGGAGGGGACCATCCCTGATGCCTGGGTGAACGTTGCTGAAAAAACCCTTCGATGGCCAAAGACGAGGGCAAAATATTGTTTCGACAACCATGTGGCTCCGAAGGAGGATTGGGAAACTTTCCCATTGGTGAAAGTGAAATTTACCTCAGGTAACCTCTTATATTTTGATGCAATTCTGAGAAGTTATGTGATTATATAAGCTTTGATGACATGCATGCTGTCTTTGTAGAAAGTCTCCGTGAGTGTGAAGAACATGATCACACCAGCCATGCTGAACAATTAGAAGATGAAGATGAAGACGGAGAGGTTGTAGTGCAAAAGAGAAAGAAAAAAACTAAAACTTTTGAAGATTTTGTTGAAGGTATGTCCCCATCATTGATTGAATAGTGAAAACATGCAAACTCATGTTACAATTGACCCTTCGCAGGGAGCTTGATTGACAGGTGATCTGACCAATCATACTTCGCCATCTGCCTTTTTCTCCGACAAAGCAGTCAGGAGAGATAGTAGATTAACATGGGATGATTTGAACTTGAGAAACGGAGTGTACTGACGCCTTTCCGCGGTTAAAACAACATTCCTTCTGATGTTCATTCATTTTTATGCGAGAATGGAGAGATGATCGATTCACGAGCAGCTTTAATTGATGCTCTACAGCAGGGGTGTCAAACTCAGTTCCTGGAGGGCCACAGCCCGGCAGAGTTTAGCTTCAACCCTAATTAAACACACCTGATCTGCTAATCAAGTCCTTCAGGCTTATTTGAAAACTGCCTGTGTTTGTGTGTTGAAGCAGTGTTAGAACTAAACTCTGTAGGGCTATGGCCCTCAAGGAACCGAGTTTGACACCCCTGCTCTACAGCGATCTGTCACGACACATTAAAGAGCCACAAAATGATAATTATTGTTTACATTTATTTAAAAAATGACCAAATTTGTAAAGTGAGACTTTGTTTAATATGTTTAATATCAAAAGTAACCTGGTCTGTCCTGTCTGTCAGCGTGTTGTCAGTCTCCTCTCTGCTCTGCGATGTGTTTTTAACTGTGTGAGAACATGAGAGCGGCATAGCTTGTTGGTACATGGCGACAGTAACTAAGGGGGCGGGTCTTTTGGAACAGTCAACTGTAATGTGTTTTAATATTCAAAGGATCAGACCTGTGTGAGGCGTCTGCTGAGGGGGAGGATAAAGAGGAGTGGAAAGGAGGTACAGAAATGTTGTGGCATTAATTTAATGTGCATTGAAAGGTTGCCTGTGCTTAATAACAAAATTAAGTTAAAATTAACTGTAGCTTAATTTGTTTTATACCCCTTATTTACTGATAAGATGCCAGTCCTATAATTCCAGTCTTTCCCACCCCACCAATCAAAATTTCAAAAAATGGTGAGTTGTTGCTTAGATGACCATGCACATTTTAACCAGGTTCAAATTTTAAGTTATTTGTGATTGTATTAAACAAAGTCTGTCTTTGTTGTCAGTGGGCCGTGACAGATCAAATAGTGGTGAGTAGAGCTGTCAATCTTCCAATTTAATACCATTCAAATTTCATTTTTCTTTTAATATTCAAATATTTATTGCTCAAATGCAGCCTGTATTTCACTATTATGCATTGTTAACGCAGTAATGATACAATATCTAACAAGTGTATTGAAGCGGCTCTCTTGCAAAGGCTGGTGCTCAGTTAGCACAATTTAAGCATGTTCGAAAGCACAGCAGAAAAGATTTGTCATAAACTAACAATAGCGTTAAAAACTAGCAATAGTTGTTATCAAATAGTAACAAAAGAGCAGGAGAGAGTTCGGCAAACAAATGTTCAAAGATTTAATATTTTACAGAATAATTTACATAACCGAAATACAACCATTTATAAGTCATACCATTTAAGTGAGTTAACACCTTGTGTTTCTTGCTGATTGTGATGTTCCTGAGAATACAGCTATTAGGTAATATATGAAGTTGAAGCTAACTGACAGCTGTAGGGCAGCTAACATTAACTTTAGCTGTCTCCATGAAGCTCCCAGCTAAGCTTCTTTAAGTTGCAATGTAGTAAGGAAAAAATAATTAGCTGACTAATGATAACAAGCACTTTGGCTCGGTGAATGACAATTTTAAAGTTAATGTTAAAGCTATTTCCCATCCTTACGAATCCCGCAGCCTGTCACTCCTCCTGTACTAACGTTACTCGGTACATCTAAAGACCTCACATTGCCTTGTGTTTCTCACTCTCGCTAACTTGAATTGTTCATCAAACGTGACATGAGAAAAGCATTTTGTAATTTTAGGATTTAAATAGTACTGTTTTTTTTACTATTCAAATTATATTTGACTTTAAGAATTCGTTCCAACTGCCCTGCTGATGAGTTTACTTTTTATTGTTACAATACCAAATCAGCATGCAGGTAATCACTACTGTGATCACAAGATGTAAGAAATGAATGAAAATATCTAGTTGCAATTTTTTTGACTGATATTGCAATTGTGATATTGGAGGGAATGATAATTTTTGTATCATTACTCTCATTGTAAAATATTTAAAAGATTTTAAGGAGGAAGAGGATCTGTACCAAACAAAGATTTTCCCTTTACACTGTAGGATACGATTTGTAGGCCAGGATGTCTCTGCAGCATCACAATTCGTTCATATTGCCATTTTGATAAAAATGCGATTAATTGTGCAGCCCTACTACTGATCATGACTGACTGACATTTTTGCTCAGGTTCACCCAGGTCTGCGGGCAGCGACAGGTCAACCAGTGGTGAGTTTAACATTTCATTGCTAAATATTGCAGGCAAGTCACTAGGACTATTGATCATGACTGACTGAAGGTTCTGCTCTACGTTGTTTAGGTTCACCCAGGTCTGCGGGCAGCGACAGGTCAACCAGTGGTGAGTTTAACATTTCATTGCTGAATATTGCAGGCAAGTCACTAGGACTATTGATCATGACTGACTGAAGGTTCTGCTCTGCGCTGTTTAGGTTCACCCAGGTCTGCGGGCCGCGACAGGTCAACCAGTGGTGAGTTTAACATTTCATTGTTAGATTATCAATCAGGATGCAGGCAACTAACACTATTGACTATTGGTTTGGGTTGCACAGGTTCGTCCAGGTCTAGGTCCGTGGGCCGGGACAGTTCAAGTGGTCGTGAGTATTGCCAGTTACATTTGGCTTGTCTTATTGAATATCAGATTAGCATGAGGAATACCATTGCTACTGGACTGACTAATGTTGGTGGTTTGGGTTTCTCAGGTGTACCCAGGTCCCAAGCCGTGGAGAGCAGGTCCTTAGATGGTGAATGTCATTGGTTGTATCACTCAATGAGGCAGATTGCACATATGTTCTAAACATATTGATTGCTTCACACACTTTTTTCTTTCCTGCTTAGGTCTTTCGCATGCAAGGCCCATTTACAATAGGGCTGTGCCAACCACATTCCCCCTGTCAGAAGCGAGTAAGTACAAAAATATTTTCATGTGAAACCCAGACTAATATGTATTATAACATTGCATTCTCTTTGTAACTGTTTGGTAAATCAGACTTCAGGTTTTCATCTTGTTGCTTTGCCATTTATGACATTTGGTCTAGAACCATCTCTTAATAAAATTGTTCTTTAATAAAACTGATTTGTCAAATACATGGTTAAGGTTTCCCTTTGAATAAAGTATTAAAGGTGGGGTAGGTAGAAATTTTCTAAAAATACTTTTTCCCAAATTTGTTTAAACTGTCTATATTTACCAATACATAATTAAAATGTAAGTACTCTGAAAAAAGAAAAAAAAAGTATACAAATCGAGTGTCTGTAGTCCTCTCAGTGCTGCAATAAACACAGCTCATTATTTCATTCACCCCCACCCGCCTGGGATCCTAACAAAGCCACGCCCCCAAAACACAGGAACGCGCGCTGCCGACCACGCTCAGCTAGAGGACGCGTTTACCAGCGCCGCGGAGAGGAGCAGTGCATGACATCATGTCAGAATCACATGTAATTAAATGCCTAACTTTATCATTATTAATATAAACAACTAACATGGCTGGTAGTACTCACTATCAAGCTAGCATATCGATACTGGTAATGGTGAAGTTTAAAATATATTGAGTTTGATTCAGTAACGAGCTAGTAACATAAAAACTAAAAAAAGGTTGCATTGATACACGTTTTCACGTTACCATCAGTTACACTGTGATGAAGATGAATTTCGTGTAAGATTCATAACATATATGGTGTTTTACGTGTAAAAGATTCCACGAAAGCAATGTCTGTTGGCGTGACCCTGGTTGTCAGTTGTCGCCACGGCTGGAAAGCCCCGCCGATATTGACTCGCGTCTGACTTCTTGCTTTATCCAAAGACTTTTGGGTCATAGCCTTTTCAAATACTGTTTTCCTTTTTTTCCCGGTTTTCCTTCGCTGACTGTATATGCAGGTAACTGGGAATTTTGACTGCTCTTGCTCTGCCATAATTGTGATTCTTCCCAGTGCCTCTTCCAATCCTTGAGCAAACGTGTGCGGGCATGTGGGCAGCTCTTACGCAGCAGTGCTGGTAGCCATGGTAGCGAGGCAGAGTAACAGCCGCTGAGCCTATCACTTCTTTCGTCCCGGTTGGAAATAATGAGCTGTGTTTATTACAGCACTGAGAGGACTACAGACACTCGATTTGTATACTTTCTTTTTCAGAGTACTTACATTTTAAGTATGTATTGGTATATATAGACAGTTTAAACAAATTTGGGAAAAAGTTTTATAGAAAATTTCTACCTACCCCACCTTTAAGTAACTAATTGAATAGTCATTCATTTTTCTGGGATTGCTAGAGAGCACTCTTTTACTGAAAGGCTGAAATGCCTTGCTGTTACCAGAGAACCATGATTATAGTGAGTAATCATTTTTTTCTTAATTTCTCATTATTGCCAGAATTCCAGAAAATAGTGGTAACAAAGCTGGTGACTCTCACTGATGAGGTCAAAAAACTCCAGAGGACCTTACCTAACTCTGGGATTGATATAAGCAAGATCGACACCTTGGAAGAGTTCGAGAGGGAGGAGGCTTCTCTTCTGGAGAAAAACAAATTTGAAACCTTGGTAAAATATTTTTCAACCTCTTCCAATAGGGGGTTTATGCGGTGCGCTAAGCGTTCTAACCGACAAACAGGTCTAATCATTTCGGCTTTTCACTTCAGTACACATCTGCAGCGTAGGTGATCTCTTAGGTAACTTAAGTTTAGTTTATTATAATACAATTTTTCTTTCTGATCAAACTTTAGTGTACTTAGAGAGTAGAGTTTTTGTTGTGTGCCAAGCTGCAAGTCAGTCAGGGTGATTCGGGTCCAAAGATTAGGCGTGTTAATTGCGTTATAAGGAGACACACCACTGACTGCAGTCGGCATTTTGTGCCAGAAGATATATGAAACACAGTAATACAGCTCATATTGATACATTTCAATATCGTTCTAGCAAATTCTATCTGAATTTTGTATTTTACCTGCTGACACAATGTGTTGGAAAGTATGTGATATTAGAGTTAAACAAATCATTCAATTATCTCAAGACTAGACATATAATTTTCAAAATTGACAGTTTTTCAAGGCAGCAAACAATTGGACCACACTGGTTGAACTTTTTTCTCTATCCGTACAATGTTCTCAATTTTTTACCCTTGATATATTTGCAGGTTTGTCAGCTGGCAAGAGTCGGGGGGAAAGATGTAAAGGACTGCACGCACAAAGTGATGGACAGGTATTTATTTACACATTAACTTTAACAGACACAGGTCTTTAGACATCTGACCAGAACAGTTTTTCATGTTAGTTCAGCTCTGCTTTGGTTTTCTTGTGTCCCCATTTTTTCATTTGGTGCTTCATTTGGGGGTTTGGTTTAGTTGATGTTTTAAGTAAGGAGCAGGACTGTGTACTTGGGCACAGTGAACGCACAGTAAGGCTGACGATGGTTAATTTATGCAGCCCTTTGTCCATCTCAGCCAATGCTCTATCAAAATCGCTGTTTGTTTTTTTGTCATTTATTTTGAATTCCTGCCGAAAAAAGCCTGCGGTCACCATGCTATGTGTGTGTGTGTGTGTGTGTGTGTGTGTGTGTGTGTGTGTAAGTAATAATTGCATATTAATTTTGTCTTGTATTGGATTTAGGCTCTTCACCAATCAGCTGATGACCTTTTTTAATATGAAGGGGAAGGGCAAAAAGGATAAAATTGGAATTGAAGACAAGAAATTGTTTTCAGCAATAAAAGGTAAGCTTCATATTATGGCAATTTAAAAAAAAAAGTGTGTATAATATGTATGTATGTGTGTGTGTGGAATGTTGAATATCAGGCTTGATGTAACTTGACTTGATTTAATAACTATTTCATTTAATCAAGTACTCAAATTTTCATCTATGTATACTATGTATCTGTGCTGCAAGATAGACCACAACAGTGGCGTTTGTTATTTATTTTTCATGTGCATGTTTTTGCTTTGATTTTAGCTGCTGTCATGAAATGGGACCCAGCTGCTACAGAGGCCCAAATAAAGTCTGCTGCAGCCGATCATTTGAAACATGCTCCCGGGAGAGTCGGGGGTGGTGGCTACAAATAAATATATTGTGGACCTAATAGCAGCCATATTTTGTTAATTGTTTACTGTTTTAACAACATTTTATAGTACTTTATTTATAACTTTACTGTTCTGGCAGTAATACAGTTTTATTGTGTTAATTTATACTTTAATGTTCTGGTTTTAAGTTTGGGTAAAATTAGTAATAAAAATATGTTTTGAGATTTAAATCATTGATTTCTTCAAGTGATCAGTTTGGTTTACAGGAAAATACTAGGCAGTTTATTAAAATTATATTGATAAGATGCAGTTTCATGACACGACAAACATTAAGTAACTGGGTTTTTCTCAGAACTAACTCTGCAACTATTTTGAAGTAAACATTTTTTAAAGTTGGATCCTACCAAATATTCACAGATGGGATTTTCATGTCAGTATGGGTCTTAACAGTCTTTGGCATTTCTACTAAAGAAAACGTGTCTAATATTTATTCTGCCTTTAGATGGCTCCTGTGAGGACGTCTTCTGGATGTCTAACAATTACATCTGTAGCACGTCTTTAATTGACGTCTAAACAACATCCTGAAAAGACGTATAAAAAAACTTTCATTCTGGCTCCTGTGAGGACGTCTTCTGGATGTCTAACAATTACATCTGTAGCACGTCTTTAATTGACGTCTAAACAACATCCTGAAAAGACGTATAAAAAACTTTCATTCTGGCTCCTGTGAGGACGTCTTCTGGATGTCTAACAATTACGTCTGTAGTACGTTTTTAATTGACGTCTAAACAATGTCCAGAAAAGACGTATAAAAAAACTTTCATTCTGGCTCCTGTGAGGACGTCTTCTGGATGTCTAACAATTACATCTGTAGCACGTCTTTAATTGACGTCTAAACAACATCCTGAAAAGACGTATAAAAAACTTTCATTCTGGCTCCTGTGAGGACGTCTTCTGGATGTCTAACAATTACGTCTTTCAGACGTATTCTAGACGACTTCTTGCTCGCTGGGTGGCGGCAGAAAACGGACTGGGAGTCGTTACAAAGTTAATACGGAGACACACATAGTACAAGTGAAGGCAGATAAGTGTTATTTGCAAACTACAAAATGCTTTAATAAAATACCAAATCAAAAACTCTGTCATTTGCATCGTGTTTCTGCTTTGCATAGTTGATAAGACCCAATGAGAGAGCCAAACATGAGTGTCTGCGTCATCGTTTCTTGTTAGGGTGTGGTGTGGGGACAGAGAGGACCCAAATGCAACTCTGGGGATTAACAGGTTTTATTAGGGGAAAGAAGGGGTTGAGGGACTGGAGTTGAGGGAGAGGTGGATGCCGGGGAAACGCAGGCACGGGGAACCGAGGAGACTGAGACCAGAGAGGCGAGGGAGAGAAGAGGCACGAGAGCTGCTGGCTGTTGGAAAGCATGCTGGCTTGATCTGCACTCGACTTCCTGAAGGACCTTGAACTGTCTTTGACCTTGAATCTGAATCTTGAAGTGAATTCAGTTTCATATTTATTGGAAGTCAGTTTCAAAATAATTAATTGAATTTCAAATTATGCTTTTCAGGTTCAGTTTTCCAATACAATTATTATCAGTTAAACAATACAAATTCAAACTAATCTATTCAAATTCAGTTTTTTAATGTGATTATTCAAGTTAAGCAATTCAAATTCAGATTTAAATAATTTAGATTCTAACACAAATATCAGCCCATAACAGTAGCATTAAATTAATTCTACTGAATTACAGTTCTTGTGTTCAGATCTGTTGTTGCAACCCTATAAAGTAGCTCTGAGCTATTTTTAACTTCTACCATCCTCCACTCACGTCTCTGTAAAGTCTCATCAAGTCTGAATCAGGATGTGTTTTCTCTGCATGCCTTGTCTTTACTGTCGGTGGGTTGAAACTGACCAACATGAGAACAGACTGCTGCTCTTTCATTCATAATCTGAAGATGCTAAAGTTTCAATCAAACGGACAGTTCAGATAAATCTTCTGTTTCTGTCAGACTGAACTAAACTCAACACTTACTGACTCATAAATGTGACATACTGAGTTATCTGTGAAGGTTCTCAGTCATCGAGGTCGTAGTTATTAGTCCAAAACCCTGTTTTCCTTTTCCAATGACTCTATTTCTGTCATGAGTCACCAGCTGCTGCTTCTATGTGCGCTGCTGGTGAGAGTGAGATATCAGATAAGCAAACCAACAGTTATTGGTTATTTCATCTTTATTACCATCATGTTTTGTAGTTTCAGGTGTGTTGACTTTATTGTGAAATACATTTTAAGGTATATTCAGATATTGTCAACAATCGCCTATTACATCTCTTTAATAAAAACATTTCCACCATAAATTGTTGCAGAAAATGTCTCCTGAATGCAGGAAATGATGTGTTTAATGGTTAAAATCTCCAGGGGGAGGACCCACAGACTCCTCACTAATATATTTGATCTTTGAATATTTAATTAAAATATCTTTACATCTTGTTCTTGTGAACCCAATATTGTGAATTGTCACATATTGTGAGCCAAGTGTCTCGCACCCCTAAGCAGTGCCCTTATGTCCCCATCCCTTTTCAACACAAAGTGGCGCCCTTGCATGTCGGTGACATTGTCTATACCTGTTCAAAACACTGCAGAGGTCAAAAATCGTCGAAATGTTAATATTGTCCGTCTTACTGGTGTCATGATCATCAGGGGCCGACTGGCACAATAATTTAACTCCACCCCAGGCCACCCTGTTCATGCAAACGCAGTCAAACAGCACAAAAATAAACACATCTATCTTTCAATAATTTCTACTAGATATATATTAATGTTTTCTAGCCTAAAAAGAAAATAGAGTTGTACCGGCAGGGATAGCTCACAAAAGGCATTGCCTTGTTCACTAGAGCATCTGGTTTTCACTCTCGGAGCGTTTTGTCTGCCTGTCTGTTCACGAGGAGCAGAGAGAACTCCGCGGATTGAAGTGAGTACAAGCTTAGACTAAACTGGTGCACAGCTCTGTCCCGTACACAGACTGCACATCCTGATAGTTACATTCAGTTTACAGATGAAAGAACTGGTTGTTAAAAAAAGGAAGTTCCAGTGACCATGGAGGAGCTGAGGTTAGTGAAGTAAATTTGAGGTTCAAAATACAACTTTTAAGCTACTGAGGTTTCATTTTGATTATAATGTGCAAATTAAATGCTTAGTAACTATCCAGAAATCCTGTGTAGAAAAAAAGAGATGCATCAATAATCGTTTTATAATCGCATCAAAGCCCTCTGAATCTTAATCAAATCGTGAGGTGCCCAGAGATTCATATCCCTATATTTACAGCAGGCCAGCACCTCCTCAAGATACCAGGAAATCTCTCGGTGCTCCCAGTGGCCAGTCTGCTATTGATGATGGTTTTTAACAGTCTGAGGTGTTTGACCCTCAGCTGGAGCGCTGAGTGGAGGTCGCTGTCAGCTGCAACAGTGCAACCAGATAAACTTGTGAACATGATCTCGCCAGTCTGACTTTGGTATCATGTATCGTCAGTAATCTGACATCGTGTTGATCTGAAAACAGTTCATTCTGTCATACTGTAATTGAAACTGAATGTTTACACTTCACCATGCACAGTCAGCTGACATACGCTCAAATTAACCTGAGATACAACAGCTGTATCTGCTGTCGGTGGTGTAACACAAAAAAAACTAAATTCAAAAGTGACCAAAACATCAGCCAGGAAGCATAGGAACTGAGAAGCGGTCTGCGGTCACCACCTGCAGAACCACTCCTTTATTGGGGGTGTCTTGCTAATTGCCCTATAATTTCCACCTGTTGTCTATTCCATTTGCACAACAGCATGTGAAATTGATTGTCAGTCAGTGTTGCTTCCTAAGTGGACAGTTTGATTTAACAGGAGTGTGACTGACTTGGAGTTACATTGTGTTGTTTAAGTGTTCCCTTAATTTTTTTGAGCAGTGTATTTCCAGCCAACAGCCAATCCAACAGCAGCTAAACAAACCAGAACAAAAGCTGCTCCCAGTCTGTAGTAAAGACCGTAGTTTCCCTCCTCGACGTCTCCGCTGTTGGACCCTGAAGATCAAAGTGCATATTAGTCAGGAAATGAGTGAACAGTGGAACAGCCTCCATTTACTCTTCTATATCTTCTATATTCCTCATGTTTGACTCTCAGAATTAACATGGAACAAACTGCAGATACAACATGGCACACAGACACACTGACCTCCACAAACTCACCTGAAACCTCCAGCTGGTAGATTCTGATTGGCTCAGTCTCAATGATGGCTCTCTTACATCTTGATCCACCTGCTGCAACTCGACATTCCAGCGTCGTTGTTGTTCACGTTCTTCAGAATTAAAGACACGTCTCCGTCCTTCAGCGCTCTGTCCACCAGCTGCACCCGGTCCTTAAAGGATGGATGCTGCTGGGTTGGTCTTGAGAGTCCATCTCTGTGAAAGACGACGTACTCTGGTGGCTCCAGGTCAGGTCTGCTCCACTCTACAGCTCTGATGAAGACATCTCCAGCCCGACATGGCAGAGTGACATCATCTCCAGGTTTCACTCGTACCACATCTAAAAACAATAAAAACATCAGAGAGAAAAAGTAATTACATTTCAAAAGGACTCCACAGGACGATACAGTGAGAACCAGGGCTATATGACTATATATATTTTGTTTGATGATAGAAAAAGTCTATCGTTTACAATTATCCTCCATTGTTTATTTTGTTGTGTCGTCATGGTCGAGTTTCAGTGTTTCCACTGGTTGCTTCTAATGGGTAATGATAAATGGGGAATAACACTAAAAAAGCTCACGTGTTCACTCGCACAGACTTCACTTGGTTAAAGAATTGGTAGCCTATGACGTTACAAGTCGCGGTGGATATTTTACGCATGGACCAGGTAAAGCAGCAGTGAACACACAGGGTGTAGATGATTGTTTCGGTTATTTGAGAGGCTGCGTCATTAACAAGCCCACAAGCGGCTCAGCTGCTGCTGTGATAACAATTTGCAGGTGGAAAAATACAGAAAAAAGTTCTGTGTCTTTTAGGCAACTTCTGGTTAAGTGAGGATCAAGGAGACACTAAATAAGAGACTTGAGAAGCACCCAGAGTGAGGTCACCTATCAAGGAATTGTTTTGGTCAAAAAGGTCAAAGTTAACAGAAATGTTGACAGTCTTAATTTTCACTGTTGAAGGGATTTTTAGAGTATAACATCTCATAGCTGGTACAGTAATATGTTATTTCTACCAGTGATAGACGACACTAGGAAGGAGATGAAATGACGATGAAACGGCGATGTCACCTATTGTAGAAATTGTTTTGGTGAAAGGTCAAAGTTAACAGAAATTGTTATGTTATATTCACAAAATATAAATCTCCTCCTGTACAGAGAGTTTACTCACGGCGGTGAGAAGCCACACTACAGCTAATTAACTCAAAACACCTGCAAAGGCCTTTAAATGGTCTCTCAGTCTAGTTCTGTAGGATCCACAATCATGGGGAAGACTGCTGACTTGACAGCTGTCCAAAAGACGACCATTGACACCTTGCACAAGGAGGGCAAGACACAAAAGGTCATTGCTAAAGAGGCTGGCTGTTCACAGAGCTCTGTGTCCAAGCAATAGGGATAACCGCACCCTGGAGAGGATTGTGGAACAAAACCCATTCAAAAATGTGGGGGAGATTCACAAAGAGTGGACTGCAGCTGGAGTCAGTGCTTAAAGAACCACCACGCACAGACGTTTGCAAGAGATGGGTTTCAGCTGTCGCATTCCTTGTGTCAAGCCACTCTTGAACAAGACAGCGTCAGAAGCGTCTCGCCTGGGCTAAAGACAAAAAGGACTGGACTGCTGCCGAGTGGTCCAAAGTTATGTTCTCTGATGAAAGTAAATTTTGCATTTCCTTTGAAAATCAAGGTCCCAGAGTCTGGAGGAAGAGAGGAGAGGCACAGAATCCACATTGCTTGAAGTCCAGTGTAAAGTTTCCACAGTCAGTGATGGTTTGGGGTCCCATGTCATCTGCTGGTGTTGGTCCACTGTGTTTTCTGAGGTCCAAGGTCAACGCAGCCGTCTACCAGGAAGTTTTAGAGCACTTCATGCTTCCTGCTGCCGACCAACTTTATGGAGATGCAGATTTCATTTTCCAACAGGACTTGGCACCTGCACACAGTGCCAAAGCTACCAGTACCTGGTTTAAGGACCATGGTATCCCTGTTCTTAATTGGCCAGAAAACTCGCCTGACCATAACCCTATAGAAAATCTATGGGGTATTGTGAAGAGGAAGATGTGATACGCCAGACCCAACAATGCAGAAGAGCTGAAGGCCACTATCAGAGCAACCTGGGCTCTCATAACACCTGAGCAGTGCCACAGACTGATGGACTCCATGCCACGCCGCATTGCTGCAGTAATTCAGGCAAAAGGAGCCTCAACCAAGTACTGAGTGCTGTACATGCTCATACTTTTCATGTTTATACTTTTCAGTTGGCCAACATTTCTAAAAATCCTTTTTTTGTATTGGTCTTAAGTAATATTCTAATTTTTGGAGATACTGAATTTGGGATTTTCATTAGTTGTCAGTTTTAATCATCACAATTAAATGAAATAAACATTTGAAATATATCAGTCTCTGTGTAATGAATGAATAATATCCAAGTTTCACTTTTTGAATGGAATTACTGAAATAAATCAACTTTTTGATGATATTCTAATTATATGATCAGCACCTGTATAATATATTCGACATACCGACCCAGCCATGTTACAAACACATGAAGACTTTCTAGAATAAGAGGACATGGTTTTATAACACTGGTCAATAGTCTTTCACAATAAAAGTTCGTCTTTACCAGAGGCTGCCGGAGACGGAAGGACCAACAGGAGCACAAAGTTATCCATGAGAGAGGAGGTGATGTCTGTCTGTCTGCTGCTATAACTCTGCTCGGTTTATGGATACTGTGTGTGTGAAGCATGCAGGAAGTGACCTGCTGTAGTTTCAACCATAGACTGTATGTTTAACAGCTGGAGTGGGCAGATCTCACAGCAGGGTTCACTGGAGGACATTTAAAGAAAGAAAGGAAATTCAGGTGTTCTGCATTTTGCAGTCAGTTTTTTCCGCTAGGATTTTCTCAGCAACACAACATGTCTCAACATTGCTCTTGCGTCCATAATTTTATGTTTTCCAACGAAAAACATGTAATTTTACATCATATTGGGCCATTATTTTCACCATATCTCTGAACAAATAGTTGGAAAAGCTGGAGCAGATAATAAACAAGCAACACCCAAAGATCAGTCTACTGGAGGAACTACAACCGTTAGATCTGGAGAATTGGTTGGTTCTGTTGCTCCACAGTGCTTTTACAGTGATGGCACAGCATGTTTTGGGCATCACCCCCTAAAACCCAGTTAATGTGACCTCAGAATCATTATAGATACGACGGTTCATGTTTGCCTTTTGTGTCTTCATTTTACAGCCTTTGACATTTATCTGTAGACATTAAAATAAAAAAATAGGCAACATGAGAAACCTCCTCCCTTCTGAGGTGCATTTTATTTTCACATTAAAATCCAAAAAGAAACACCTCATTAGCTTAAAAGGACTAGTTTGCATCACTAATTAGCCTTACTAACCTCAGCTCCTCCAGTCACCTACGTCCTCTGTTTTCAAAAACCACCTTTTCAGACTGAAAAATAATTGAATCAGTCTCTACAGGACAGAGCTGCAGGCTACGTCAGTTTAGGCTAAGTTTGTACCTGATGTTCTCAACATTGGACAAGTAGGCAGTAATAAAACACAGCTTCCAGTTACTTTCTATAAATTGAGCCAATGTTAAGTTACATAGCAGCTATGTAGCTGCTGCTTCCCTGCTCTGTTTCAGCTGGTGGGAAACAACAGACTTTTCCTGGTCTTGAGAACACACGGTAACAGACACCGTACATTTACTGCCAGAATATTTTCCTCCACTCGCCTTCATACAGGGTGCGAACTAGGCCTACTGATTCTGATCCTCATTAGCATACAAAGTGATGTTCTGTTTAACTCAACGTCTCATTTACACTTGCAAAACTCTGATATAAATCTCACATCTGCATTAAGCACAGTCCGTTAGAGTCTTACACATTGCAAAAAAAATGCAAGTTGTAAGTTACAGGTAGATGTTACCAAGCGCTAACCTTCACTTTTCCAGCAGCTGGGCAAACAGCAGACTTTATTAATGGTCACACTGTGACCTACGCTGCACAATCACAGGTTACTTTATTCAGAATCTTCCGCATCTCGATGCATCTGAGCATCTTTTTCTCTCCCACCCCTGATGGAAGCGCGTGCATGGGATGAAAAAAAAACCCAAAATCATCATCAATGGAGATATTATGATTCACCTCCATTTTAATCAAGTGGCACTAGAAATATGAATGATTGATATTTATCCCCAAAACAGGAGTGGAGGAAAGATCAGTAAGTTAACAGTATTACTTTTTATTATTTGTCAGACTTGTTTTAAATTAATGTTAAAGTGCTGGAATCCTCCTATATTACATAAATTAAATATGTTGAATCAGACGACAAAATGTTGGTGATAATAACTAAAAAATGAAAATACGGATCAAACTGATCAGACAGTTTATTCATGAAACCTGAAATGATAAACCCAGTCTGATCCATAATTTGTTATTTTGGTGATTTACAGTTGAAAATGTGTCTCATTTTCAAACTGACAGTAAAGCTTTAGACGTCTATTTTACATTAAAAATTCTTTCTCATTTCACATTAATGCACCACAATCATCCTCATCTCCAACATGATAACCAAGGACTGCTCCATCAGTGAGACTAATCATGACAGGTGATTGATTATTGATAAGTTACAGCTTCATATCTTAGTTTGATGTAAACAGTGATCACTGCAGTAATGTAGCCCACACTGTTTCAGTGCAACTCTTGCCAACCTGACAGCTGCCTTAATGTCCACAGTGTAGCCTGTAGATTTTATTCTGTCATTACATTGATGACACTGATAATACAATAAGCTGAGTTACTCACCCACACATCTTCCCTTCAGGCAGAAACTGCTGCTTTCTGAGGAAAAAACTGAACGAAATGTTGCTGGTGCAGTTCTGGATGTTTCCTGTTGTAACTCTCAGGGTTTTTGCTCTCAGCAGTGAAGCTCGAGCTCTTCTGTCGTCCAGCAGATGTTTCGGGAACTTCACGTTTCTATTTTTCTCCTCCTGTGAGTAAAATAGGCTACACACACTGTTAAACGACGGTCGGTGGTCGTCTTCTTGGTTCGTCTCCCGCGAGGTTTTAAGGTCATGTGACATGGTAGTTTTGCAGCGCCAGCCGGACACAATTTCTATCCAGCAGGCCTTGTTTGAAGTCCAGCAGGCATCATGTTAAAGTCAGCGGATACCCCCGCGGATGTAAGTGAGTACAAGCTTAGACTAAACTGTGTTCAGCTCTGTCATCTGGATGTTTACACTCAGTCAGCTGACATGAGATACTGAACGCTCAATTTAACCTGAGACACAACAGCTGGATCTGCTGTCGGACTTGTTTTATATTCTTCATATTCATCTCCTGTCATCATTCAGACCCACCAAAATCGAATCCTTCACACAGGCAACACATCAGCTGTGGTGTAACAGCAAACTAAAGTTTCTACATTTAACACGGTGCACAAATTAAAGTTCAATATGCAACACAATCTAGCAGCTCCAGTGAGCTGTTACTGTGAGTGAAGAAAGACATTAATGATAGTAATGAAAGTGTGAAAGAGGGACAGCTGACACACCACATGCTGCAGGAGGGACCACTCAATCTGAAAGGGAACAAGAACAAACAGATAATTGCCAAAGACTTTATAAGGTTCACATCACCCATGAGAAGGATGCACAATAAAACTCGTTAAGAGTGAGAAACATGTTAATTCAGCCAGTATCATAGTGTGGAAAGCTTAAAAACAAAATAGAGAGGTTATTAAACGTGGCACATTGATTGCAACATATACTGTAGCCTGTAAACACGTGACATGATGCATCTTCATCGTGCTGATGTTTCAGGTCTGCAGACAAAAGGAGAATCTCTAGGTTATCTAACTTGTCCTGATGGGATGATTGTTTCAGAAAATATTTTACACAAGAACATTTAAGCAAGTTGTAACATGAAGGAACTTTATGAAACGTGCAGTGCTGCAGGTCGTTTATTTTCCCCATCATGGTCCTAGTCTGACACCTAGTGACCCTTTCCTGACATGCACTGTGAGCTGTAAGGTCTTATATAGACAGGTGTGTGGCTTTCTTAATCAAGTCCAATCAGTATAATCAAACACAGCTGGACTCAAATGAAGGTGTAGAACCATCTCAAGGATGATCAGAAGAAATAGACAGCACCTGAGTTAAATATGAGTGTCACGGCAAAGGGTCTGAATACTTATGACCATGTGATATTTCAGTTTTTCTTTAATAAATTTGCAAAAATTTCTACATTTGTTTTTTTTCTGTCAAGATGGGGTGCTGAGTGTACATTACTGAGAAATAAAATGAACTTTTTTGATTTTTGGAAAATGGCTGCAATGAAACAAAGAGTGAAAAATTTAAAGGGGTCTGAATACTTTCGTACCCACTGTATCTGTACTGTTTAGCAAATGTTGAATTTCTAATATTTCACAATGACAGGGTGGACATGTTAAGCTTGACAACCTCCAACTATAAACAATGTGAAAATTAAACAAATTATCAAAATGACTTGTTTTATGAACGAACTTGCTAAAGATCATAATTACATATAAAACATTTTAATTTTGTCTAATTGAACCACTTATTACACTGAAGTTACGTCACGTGGGATTTTACAATTTGAGTGATTCTGAGGACGCCAAAGGCGAGTGATATTGACCCACCTCATGAAAGGAGCTCAGGTGTGTTGTATACCGTGTTGGAAGTAATGACATCTGAATCAACAGCTCAGGTAACCTACAGTTTATTTCAACATTCAGGTAGAAACAGAAAGTCACAGAAAACAAATTTTTTGTACATATGAAAAATTTAATATAAATGGCTTACAGGAAACAGTCAACTCATACCAGAACCTGCTGAGTATGAATAGACCTTTACAAACAGAGAAAAACCGAAGCAGCTTTCAAAGTAAAATATTTAACCATCATTGTCTCCAATATATATAAATATTTGCAGACATCACAAGCCTTTCTATGACCCACCATCAGCCTCTTAAAGAAAAGAAAAAATTACAGATCAAAGATTAAATGTAAAAATGAACCTGATATGAAACACAAACCATGGATCTTCTAATCTATTGTCAGACATGTTTGATTGTCAAAGGCCACAGAATAACTCTTCCTTGTGGAGCCACAATAAGACTGCATCCTCTGACAACCCTGCCGTTTTCAGAAGATCTTGTTGATCGCTGGACTGTGTGTGAGAAGCACCTTACGACAGCTACAGTTTTTTAAAGGCACCAGACTGTGCAAAACGAACTTTTGGACTGCATGCTGTCAGTTATCAAAGATTACATTCTGGAGGAAGTAAAAAATATTCAGGCAGACGAAACAACTGACATTTCCACCCACTGTCAGTTGGTGCCTGTGCTACAGTACATCGACAAGAAGAACAACAGCTTTCGGCTACAGAGGCAAGCTGTTTAGTGTACAGGCAGCTCTGAAGTGTTCAGATGTGGTGGGCAGGAACTTAAGTCGGCCGACTGTACTGACGGACAAAGTAGAGGTATTTGCACTTTATGTTTATGGCACAACAACAATAAAGTGGCAACGATATGCAGACAAGATAACTCTCAGGATCAACGCGTACGCAAACCCTCCAACATTATTTTTTCACGTTGATGAGCAGATCATCATGGTCCCTTTGCCTCAAAGGCCAGATTTACATATTCACACCCACAGAAAGACTGAAAATCATGTTGAATGTATGAAACATGTGGTGGAAAGAGATCAGAGGTCGTTCACTGCGTCATCAGCAGCAGGCTGTCCTGATTTCTTGTTCTAATGTCTTTTCCATTTCCAGCCAACAGCAGCAGCTAAACAAACCCGAACAAAATCAGTGCTCCCAGTCCGTAGTTTCCCTCCACGACGTCTCCGCTGTTGGACCCTGAAGATCAAAGTGCATATTAGTCAGGAAATGAGTGAACAGTGGAACAGCCTCCATTTACTCTTCTATATCTTCTATATTCCTCATGTTTGACTCTCAGAATCAACATGGAATAAACTGCAGCTACAACATGGCACACAGACACACTGACCTCCACAAACTCACCTGAAACCTCCAGCTGGATGATTCTGATTGGCTCAGCATCAATGTCGGCTCTCTGACGTCTTGAACCTCCTGTTGCAACTCGACACTCGTATGTTCCAGCGTCGTTGCTGCTCACGTTCTTCAGAATTAAAGACACGTTTCCGTCCTTCAGCTCTCTGTCCACCAGCTGCACCCGGTCCTTAAAGGATGGATGCTGCTGGGTTTTAACTGAACGCCATCTCTGTAAAAGAGGACGTAGTCTGGCTCCAGGTCAGGTCTGCTCCACTCTACAGCTATGATGGAGGCTTCACCAGCCTGACATGGCAGAATGACATCATCTCCAGGTTTCACTCGTACCACATCTAAAAACAATAAAAACATCCAGAGAGAAAAAGTAATTACATTTCAAAAAGGACTCCACAGGACGATACAGTGAGAACCAGTACTGTGCGATATGACCACATATTAATCGTTTGACGATAGAAAAACATTGTTGTGTCACAAATTTCACACTCCACAGTAATATTATCTTGAGGGGACTGCACCGAGGTGAAGTTAGTTTGAAATTGGTTATTTGTTGCAGGAAAGAAATTTACCTTCAGATTAAACAAACACAGAGAAGTTTTAATACTGAACAGGATGACTCAGAACATGCAGGCAAAAACAAGCAGCTCACACCAAAGAGAGAAGTCTGTTGAGCCACACATCACTCTTCCAGCAGTTCCAGCCATGGATTTTTCAGAGTGCAATTAAAAGACTTTCATAGCTCCTCAGAACAAAAGAGCTTTGGGATGATCTGCAAGATGGCCAAACTTAGAAGCTAAATTAGCCATTTAGCAGCTAAATCTAACTAGCCAGGCTAAAGTTATTAAAACAGCCTAAAACCGTAAATATCATAAAGACGTTTTCAAAGCTGGAAGCCTCGGTAGAGTAATCAAGGCGATCAGATGATTGATCGCATTTTTTTCTTTGGCATTTTCCTCCACACTGAAGCTAAATCGATGACTGTAGCTGCAGACAAGCTAACGTTAGCATCCAACCTCGAAACTCGACGATTTATAAACACATGAAGACCTTTTAGGACAAGATGACATTTTACAAACTCGTCTTTACCAGAAGCTGCTGGAGACAGAAGGACCAGCAGGACCACAAACTTCTCCATGAGAGAGGAGGTGAAGCTGCTGCGGTTACTGTGTTAGCTGCGTGAATCCTGGATATTATGACTGCGTGACTGAGGCCGAAACTAGTGAATGATTGGTGCTGCTGCAGTGACGTAGCGGTCACCAGCTGAGTCAGCTGATCTCACAGCACGTCACCAGCTGAGTCAGCTGATCTCACAGCACGTTTGGGTTCACTGAAGGACATGAGTCAAAATTCAGGGATTTTGCATTCTGCAGTTTGGCCAAAGACAAGAGGAGTTAATATAAATATATAAACTAATGAATCTATTTTGATCTCATGTTGACAGAATAAAGTTTTCAGTGAACTAGAGCTCTAAAGTGTGAAGAGGCCAATAGGCTGCTTTCTGTTTGCAGCGGTGATGTGGAGAAACTCTTCACTATAGCGATATAATCCTACAGAGACTGATTAAAAGCCTTAGACTATTGTTGCCTACAGGTTTTTACAGTACAGCAGGATAAGCCTGCTTACTGCTTTGAAATGCGTTTAATATTTTTTATTTGCTCTTTATTTTTCTTATGGGAGGCTGAATATTATGAGCAGTTTGGTAGGGGTATTGAAATACTAAATTTGAATATGATCTATCTATTTCAGGTTAGTATAGCTTTCTCAGGCCTACTACAGACACTGTCATTTTCCGCACACCATTTGTGATGTGGGCGCAAAAGGTTTTCAGTAGCCTAAATGTTGAGATTCAGTCTTTCAAACATTATTTGAGCACATTTTATGGCATGAATGGAGTTTTCGTGCAGGTTTGAACTGTGAGTCAACAACAAGCAGCTCAATCGTCGACATGCGGAAAACCACAGAAAGCCAGTAACATGTCGACAGATGGCCATGAAATCGGATCCCTTTCTGCAGGAGGTACTGAAGCAGTTTCTCTGCCTCTGATTGGCTGGTTTAGTTTGCTTATATGGTTAAGGGTGACGTTAGCCAATCACGCAAAGCTGTGTGAGTGAGAGGCTGGTGGAAAGCTGGTGGAAAATCTCCTCTGCTCTACGGTTACATGACCGCCACGTTCACACTACACTAAATATTTTAAAGTAAATGTGAATGGTTCTGTCCAACAAGTTGTTTATACTGTTCACACAAACAACAGCTATACACTTTTTAGGCCTCAGCGTCCCTTTGAAACTAGAATCTGCGCCACTTCTAGAAATCTGCGGCCTAAAACAGAATAGGCCTACATGTTTTAATTGTGTCACGGTCGGTCAATAAGCTGAGTTACTCACCCACACATCTTCCCTTCAGGCAGAAACTGCTGCTTTCTGAGGAAAAAACTGAACGAAATGTTGCTGGTGCAGTTCTGGGTTTTTGCTCTCAGCAGTGAAGCTCGAGCTCTTTGTTTCGGGAAATTCATGTTTCTATTTTTTGTCTCCTGTGAGCAGATTCGGTTGTGTTTATAGTGCGTTTCAGAGGGCGTCTCAACACATGATTGGCTAAATGCGCATGTGTCAGTCAGTGATTGGCTCACATCCTGCTCCTCCCGTTTGTGGCGGTTATGACTGTGTTGATCTCACACAAAGATCCAGAGAGAAACATGAAGTCAACAGATACGCTTTAGGGCTTCAGCATTCAGCGGTGTGGGTCAAAGACTAAAGTTAAAGTAAATACATAAATGAAAAATAAAGACTAACCAATGGATCTATTTTGATCGGGTGTAGAGGAGGCCTAAAGTGTTTAAATGTTGAGTAAATATTGAAACTGTTTAGTAAAGATGGAGGACAGGAGGCAGCTGCTCCTCTGTTGTAACGAAACACTTCCTGCTTTATAAATCTTTATCTCTCAGTTTTTTCAGCTTAAATTAGCTGAACGTCCAGTGAAAGCTCAGCTCCAGGCTACTGTCTGTTTGGTTTCCTGAGAATCCTTCCAGTGTGATCACTAATGAAACCATTTCTTTGAAACACACTCATCATCATGTTTCCTTTTTAAAGTGAAAGAATCAGTCAGTTTGAAGCTCCTGATCAGCTCTGAGTTCAACAGCAGCTGAAACACTTTGCCTCCACATTTGGGATTTAATCTTATCATGGAGTCACATGAGAAATACTGCAGACTGTATCATGATATATTATAGCTGAAGGCACAGTAAGTATTCAGGAATAGCCAGAGAGCCAAAGTAGTCTTTTATATTTTAACTTTGTTTTTTGTTTGTATTTGTTAGCAGACAATATAAGCCACATTTTAAATGTGGCCTCAGAGGCCTGACTGACGTCCTGAGAAGACATTTTCAGCGTTGACAGCCTGTTTTTAATAATGTAATTATGTTTTTGGACTTTCTTTTGAGTACCTCGTAAAATGTTCTTACCTGGTCAATGGTCAATGTTCTGCAGCCATAGGTTGTACATTCAATGCCTTTGAAAGCATGTATGTGCTCTATATGTTGAATAAATGTTGTATGGAAAGACTTGTATGGATTCTCTTCCCTTGCATGACACAATGGGAGTGTTGTATGTTATAAACACTAATATGTATTTGAAGAAGAAAGATTCACACAGGATATAGCACAATGGTAAATCCTTCTTTTGGCCAGATGGTGACATTAGGACATTTCTGATGTGAGTTTGTTGTCAGAGCTGCTGAGAAGCTGACAGCAGTGTTAGAACCAGGTTAGAGCAGAAGGGCATGCAGGTTTAACTCTGGGCTGAGGGTGAATGATGAAGATGATAACTAGGCTGCAAATAAAACATAGATATCAAATACCAAATGAAATGAGCAACAATAAATACATTTATAAACGTTTTATAAAGACACAGTACAGGCCTTCATTTAAATCCTGCCACCTGCTGGTAGAAAGAGGAAACAGCTTTGTTCATTACGGTGGAAACCACATTAAATATAAATGTAATATTAAAAATATAGTAACAACTATACAGTAACAACTCTGCACACACAATAATTTCTCAGGTTAACCTATATTAGCCTACCAACTGTACTGGGTCTGGTATCTCTGGATAATCCATAATTCGTTTGTAATACTGTTTTTTGTTTCAAAATGAAAAACCAAACAACCGTTTTTGGTGTTAGAATCAAAAATCGAAAAACCAATTCAAAACGGCCCGTTTTTTGTTTTTGGCAATTTATTTTATTGTTGTTCCTTTTTGAACAAATAATGAAGAGAGTCTGTGAACTTTCGTTTCTCGTTATAAACCAAAAACAAGTCACGTGGTCTATTCCTGTTTTAGAAGGGCTAGGAACCGGTAAAACCTTCAAAATAAAAGTAGCCCATGTACCATGCAGTTAGAAAGGTGATTATAGACTAAAACTAAACTAACGTTTTCTTAGTAAAACTAACGTAGCACTGGGTGTGAAAAAAAACAAAACACTTTAGCTAACTGAAATAAAAACAATAACTAATAAAATAATACCTGTTAGGCTGACAGGGAGAATTAAACATTTGTAAGACCATTGGTGACCTGTAACTTCAGATTAAGACAAGTTAACTAATGTTATATGTAGTTTAGGACAGCAGTTAGCCCGTTTATTTAAGTTTATATTAATTAATTCATATTTTAGTTTCCTAACATATTTTATAGGCCTTCTTGCTTTGTGGTAGCTCAACCAGCAGAAGTCACTCTGCCCCCTTCTGTGGCGCCAACAGGCAACAAGGTTTTTGACCTTTTGACTTGTGTTTATATCACAGAGAAGGCTGCACTGCGACCAGAGGAAGCTGATCACTGAGTTTGAAGGGTGTGCAGAACTTCACCTGCCTTCCAGCTTCTCTTTCTGTGCTGCTATAGCTGCTAAAAACTCTCAGCTTCCACCATCTGCTGTTATGTGTCAAAACAAAACTCTTCCAAAACAAATCTGTGGAGGTGTAAACTTTTTATTTTCCTTTGCATTTTTTGCCAGTGTAATATACTTATTATATTAGTCAAGTAGATTAAATATTTTTAATGCAGCCTGTAGTCCTCATCAGTTATGTAGGCCTACTTATGTGTGAAACCTGGTGAGCATTAAAGGAAAAACTTGAGGGGAAATCTGCTGTTTACTTGGCCATCCTGTCTATTTCCTGGAGGCTGAGTGTAATATGTGATGATAACTGGATCGAGTTAATGTTCCTGATCATTTGGTGGGTTATGTGTTTGTTGCAATTTGTTTTCAAAACTATGTCCAGCACTGTCAGTGTGGTTCTGGTTATCCTTGCAGACATGTTGCAACATTAAGACAGTGTGAGGGACGTGTGTGGACAGATTGATTCAGTGCTGCCTGTTGCTTGTTTTGTGGGACATGTTTGATATGTTAAGAGGAAGAGAACTCAGTCCTGCTCTGAGTCTGTATCAGATGTGAGAAAATGTCGTTAGAAGTTGCTGTTGGTATTCTGTGATGTGACAGAGTGAATATCCAGAAGGTTTTTCTTCTGAATTAATGGCTTAATGTCCACATAAAGCTCGGTGTTCATCTGACTGATGACCCCTCAGATTGTTAACTGGCAGTAAAGGCTGCTCTGGAGAAGACTGAACAAAATGCTCAGACTTTCTCATCTGTTTAGGGGAGTTTGGCCCCGGTCCCCTTTAGTAAAAACACAAACAAATAAACGACCGTGTTTGTGTATTGATAGCTAGCTGCTTAATAACTCTGATAAAACTAAATATTAACGATGGTTCCAGTTTGATAACAAGGCTAGCTGTTTAAATTTAAGCTTGTATATCAGTGAATTAGTTAGCCTGTGTGGTTATCCATTTTCTTGATGTGATGGTTAAGCTTTCGGCCTGGTAATGTAATCTAGTTTCACCCTCTCAGGTAAGCTCCACCCTGCCTCTCCAGTAGCGGCACACACCTCATTAAGAGTTGATGTTCAGGGAGCGCTCAGGATCTCTCTTGATGCTTTGTGATCAGGGAGCTGTGGGAGCCCCTCTTCCCTGTGTGTGTGTGTGTGTGTGTGTGTGTGTGTGTGTGTGTGGACCTTTAACTGAGCCTTATTGTATGTTGTCTTGTGTGTGACTTGTTGTCTTTAGGTGGTGCAGCACACCTGTCTGGGGGGGGGGGGTCATGACATTCTGGTGGCAATTGTGCTTTTGTAACAGTTTGCTTTTATCCTTTAGCATCTCTGCAGCATTTGCATTAACATCTTGTTGGTTTATTGTTTGCACTTGTGTAGCTAATAAAACTACCCAAAACCTGACCTTTTAAATTTAGATGTTTTATAAATCACCTTTCCAGTTGAAATGCAGGTCTCTCTTGTAAAGAAATGCTCTGTAAAAATAAATAAATCCCATGGGTTAAAATGAGATTATATCATGGATCTGTTGAAGTAGCACAGAATTAACTTATAAAAATGTATTATATACATATTTATATATTATGCCTGAGCTCCTTCTCCTTGTGTGCAATGACCGCTGTATGATGTGAAGACTATTGGATCTGAAAGGTCGACATGATCCTACAAAAGTTGTAGATTTTTAACTAAATCTACATCTGTCCGCTGAAGAGGCTCTAACCACAGCCTGGAGGAGGAGCTAGTATAAATGACTATTGGTATAATATAACATTATTTACAGTAGGTTTTAGTCTTCACTAACCCACTGTGCTTGTAAATCATTTATGGGCATATGAGTGAAAGAGTTGCACTGCAGAGCCCTGCTTCACTGTACTGTTGTACATACTAGTCTACTGTATATAATGTGTATTAAGACATAAGTTGACATCATCCTTATTTACAAACACGGTGCCACAATTACAAGGTGTGTTTACCATGAATCATGATGTAAATATCTGAAAGTGACAACAGGGCCCTTTTTATGGTGCTGCAGGAAGGAGTGGTGTTCTGCTTTGTCCTGACAGTCCAGCATTTATTTGAAGAGAGAGTGATTACTTAATCAGCTTCCTTTGGGAGCAGTGCAGCCTTCTCTTTGATATAAACACAAGTTAAAAGGTCAAACCCTTATTGTCTGTTGGCGCCACAGAAGGACTCTTACACAGAAGGGGGCAGAGTGACCTCTGCTGGTTGAGCTACCACATAGCAAGGTGGCCTATATATGTTAGGAAACTAAAATATGAATTAAATAATATAAACTTAAATAAATAGGCTAACTGCTACATATAACATTAGTTTACTTGTCTTAATCTGAAGTTACCAATGGTCTTACAAATGTTTAATACTCCCCAACAGCCAGAGTTATTAATTTATTATTTTTAATTTTATTTTAGTTAACTCAAGTGTTTTTTTTTCACAGCCAGTGCTACTTTAGTTTTACTAATTAATTATTTTAGTTTAGTTTTAGTCTATAATCACCTTTCTAACTACATGGTACATGGGCTACTTTTATTTTGAAGGTTTTACCGGTTCACAGACTCTCTTCATTCTTTGTTCAAAAAGAAATAACAATAAAATGAATTGCCAAAAACGAAAAACGGGCCGATTTTAATTGGTTTTTCCTTTTTGGATTCTGACACCAAAAATGGTTATTTGGTTTTTCATTTTGAAACAAAAAACAGATAAACGGTATTTTCGTTTTAGAATTACAAACGAGTTACGGATTATCCACATAATTAGTTGAACTACTGGAAACCTTCAGGACTTTGCCAAAAACACATCATGCCATAGTCTAATTTAATGCGCCATAGTCTCAAAATGAAACGAAAATATTTTACACACCTCATAATAACATTTTAGACCTCTAACGTTGTGTTTTGAGCCGCTGCTCCGCGCTACTGTAAACTCGCACACGTTGGTTTCAACTCGAGACAACCACTTTCGAGGTAACTACGGTAACGTTAACGGTCCGTTTCTGTCACTCGTCTGTGAGAAGGCGATTCAGCTGGCCGCGCCTACATTTGGAGTGCACACGTATTCAAGCCTTTATGGTAACTGAAAGAGACCAGGTGAGCGACTTTATCCTGTCAGTGTTGCAGTATGAGAGTCCTACATGAAGAGAGGCTGTGAAGTCTTCATGTTACGCCGTACGAGAACCACATACAACATACTACATTATTTATCAAACAAGGTCGGACTTGATGAATTTAGCGCGAGGATACACATGCGACAACGTCCGGTTTTCAGAATAAGGCGTGTTTACAGTATGGAAATAAGATTAATTGCATTATATTCACAGAAAGTATAAAACATGTTACGTGTGTCCATTAAAAGTGAAAAACAACAACAACATGTTAGGGAAATTACCTATTCTATTTTCTATTCTTTGATTTAGGGTTTTTTGGAATAACATTAAATACATTTGTGTATCGGTGGGAGACAGAACGGACCCAAACGCAACGCTGAGGGTGAAAAAGAGGTTTATTGAGGAAAAAACAGGCTCGAGGCGAGGGCAGGTGGAAGGAGGGGGAGAGGCAGACGAGGACTCGGGGAACCGAGAAGCTGGAGGAACGGAGGGCACAAGGCTGGAGGCTAGGGGGGGAGGCTGGCAGACGGGTAGGTGAGGACACGGAGACGGGGGTCCAGGCGGGGTGCGAGTGGAGAAGCCGGGGGGGTGTCGTGGAGGCGGCGAGAGGAGGAGGCAGGCGAGCAAGCCCGGCTGGCCGAGCTGGGAGGCAGAGGTGAGTGAACCAGGTCAAGAGCTGCGACGATCGAGCGAGGGTGGAGTGGAAAGCCGGGGTAGATATACTGGCAGTGATGAGGCTGATGGCTGGCAGGTGCGGCGGCCGGGGATGGAGGTAAACGAGGTGCAGGTGTGGGTAGCCAGCCGGGCTCCGGAGCAGGGAGGGAGAGAGCACACACACAGAGAGAGAGAGGAGGCACAGGAGAAACCAGAATGTGAGGGAAAGGAGAAACAGGACACTCACCGACAGCCGGGCTGCCACCGCGACAGGGGCCCCCCCCTCAACGGACGCCTCCAGGCGGACCCCCCGGTTTGTCTGGGTGAGCCCGGTAGAAGTCGGACAGGAGGGAAGGATCCAGGATTTGACTGGCAGGGATCCAGGAGCGCTCCTCTGGGCCGTAGCCGGCCCAGTCCACCAAGTACCGGTAGCCTCGACCTCTACGTCGCACATCCAGGAGGCGGCGCACAGTGTAAGTGGGGTGTCCGTCGACCATCCGGGGAGGGGGAGGCGCTGCCACTGGCACAGAGAGGGAGCTGGTGGAGACGGGCTTGACCCGTGAGACGTGGAAGACCGGGTGGACTCTCATGTGAGGGGGGAGTATCAGGCGAACCGCGGAGGGGTTGATGACGGCCTCGATGGGATAGGGGCCGATGAACCGGGGGGCGAGTTTCTTTGAAGAGGTTTGCAGGGGGAGGTCTCTGGAGGAGAGCCACACTTGTTGTCCAGGCCGGTAGGCGGGGGCTGGAGTGCGATGCCGGTCTGCCAACCGGCGATTGCGGGCCGCGGTGCGCTGTAAGGCGGCCGTGGTCTCCTTCCAGATGCGGCGGCAACGGCGGAAGTGGGCCCGTACCGAGGGGACCGCTACTTCTGCTTCCTGGGACGGGAACAGGGGGGGTTGGTAGCCCAGTGAACTCATGAAGGGGGACATTCCAGTGGCAGCGCAAACCTGGGAGTTGTGGGCGTATTCAATCCAGGGGATCTGTAAGCTCCATGAGGCCGGGCTTCTGTACGCCACACACCTGAGTGCCGCTCCCAGGTCTTGGTTGACTCGCTCGGCCTGTCCGTTGGTCTGGGGGTGGTAACCCGAAGAGAGGCTGGCGGTGGCGCCAAAGGCGCGACAGAAGGCTCTCCAGACCTGGGACGTGAACTGAGGCCCCCGGTCGGAGACGATGTCTTGAGGGATGCCATGTAGACGGAAGACATGGTTGATGAGGAGGCGGGCGGTTTCCAAGGAAGAGGGGAGTTTAGGTAGGGGGACAAAGTGGGCGGATTTGGAGAAACGGTCGACGATGGTGAGGATGACCGTGTTCCCGTTGGATCTGGGGAGTCCGGTGACGAAGTCTAAGGCGATGTGGGACCAGGGGCGACCGGGGACCGGGAGAGGGCGGAGCAGGCCGGCGGGTGGTTGATGGGAGGATTTAGCGCGGGCGCACACCTCACAGGCGGCCACAAAGGACCGACAGTCCTTGTCCATGGAAGGCCACCAGAATCGCTGGCGAAGAAGGAAGAGGGTACGGGCCATCCCGGGGTGGCAACTGAATCTGGAGGTGTGCGCCCACTGGAGAACCTGAGAGCGGACACTCGACGGGACATAGAGGCGGTTAGGAGGCTCGAGGCCAGGGCCGGGTTCAGTGGACTGGGCGCGGCGAACAGCGGATTCAACTTCCCAAACTATAGAGGCGATGAGGCAGGTGCGGGGCAGAATGGTGTCCGGGGAGTTCGGGGGAGCGTCCGGGGAATGGAGTCGGGAGAGAGCGTCAGGCTTGGTGTTACGGGATCCAGGACGGTAGGAGAGGGAGAAGTTGAACCTATCAAAAAACAGGGCCCACCGGGCTTGACGGGAGTTCAATCTTTTAGCAGTTTGGATGTAGGAGAGATTCTTATGATCGGTCAGGACGAGGAAAGGGAGTTCAGCCCCCTCAAGCCAGTGCCTCCATTCCTCTAAAGCCAGCTTAACGGCCAGCAGTTCTCGGTCCCCCACGGTGTAATTTCGTTCGGTGGGGGTGAGACGGCGGGAGAAGAAGGCGCAAGGGTGCAGTTTGTTATCTTTGGGGGAGCGCTGGGAGAGGCAGGCGCCGACGCCCACGTCCGAGGCGTCCACCTCGACCACGAACTGAAGGGAGGGGTCAGGGTTGGTGAGGACGGGGGCGGAGGTGAACAGGGACTTGAGGCGAGAGAAGGCTGCAGCGGCCTCTGGAGACCAGACAAAAGGGACCGAGGTGGAAGTGAGGCGGGTTAGGGGGGCGGCGACGGTGCTGAAATTGCGTATAAAGCGGCGGTAAAAGTTTGCAAAACCGAGGAAGCGTTGTAGTTGCTTAACGGAGGTGGGGGTAGGCCAGTCCGCGACCGCCTGGATCTTGGAGGGGTCGGCGCGGAGCTGCCCCCTTTCAATAATAAACCGAGGAACTGGACGGAAGGCGAGTGAAACTCACATTTTTCTGCTTTGACGAAGAGCCTGTTCTCCAGAAGCCGCTGCAGGACCAGACGGACGTGTTCAGTGTGTTGGGCAGGGTCGCGGGAGAAGATCAGGATATCGTCAAGATAGACGAAAACAAAGCGGTGGAGGAAGTCGCGAAGAACGTCATTAACCAGGGCTTGGAAAACCGCGGGGGCGTTGGTAAGGCCAAAGGGCATGACTAGGTACTCATAGTGCCCGAGAGGGGTGTTAAACGCGGTTTTCCATTCATCCCCCTCCCGGATCCGCACCAGATGATAGGCATTACGCAAATCCAGTTTGGTAAAAATGGCGGACCGGGAGAGGGATTCGAAGGCCGAATCCATGAGCGGGAGGGGATACTTGTTTTTAACGGTAATGGCGTTGAGCCCCCGGTAATCGATACAAGGGCGGAGGGTCTTGTCTTTCTTAGCTATGAAAAAAAAACCGCCCCAAGAGGGGAGGATGAAGGGCGAATGATGCCAGCGGCTAAGGAGTCCTTAATGTACTGCTCCATAGACTCCCTCTCCGGTCGCGACAGATTGTACAGGTGACTGGACGGGAGGGGAGCGTCCGGGAGGAGGTCTATGGAGCAGTCGTAGGGGCGGTGGGGGGGTAGTGACAGGGCTAGGTTCTTACTAAAAACCGGGGCCAGATCATGGTAGACATCGGGGACCCCGGACAGGTCGGGAGGGAGCGGAGGAGAGACCGGGGGAACCGGATCACCGGGGGCTCGGGCAGACAGGAGGCACGAGGAATGGCAAGAAGTACTCCAATTCCTGATCTTCCCCCGCGACCAATCGATATAGGGGTTATGGGAGGATAACCAGGGGAGACCAAGAACCAGAGGGGCGGCAGGGGAAGAGATCAGGTGGAAGGCGAGGGACTCGTGGTGATTGCCGGAAGAGAGAAGAGATAACTGAGGAGTGCGGTGGGTGACGATGGCGAGAGGCTGGCCGTTTAGACCCGTGGCGTGAAGGGGGGTGTCTAAGGGGACCTGGGGGATCTTAAGGCGGCGAGCTATTTGGTAATCTAGGAAGTTTCGTCCGCGCCCGAGTCGATCAGGGCCTTGAGAGGCTGGGTGATGCTCTCCCAGGTGATGGAGGCATCGAGGAGGACGCGGGGGTTGGGGGAGGGGGCCCTGCTCGCCAGTAGTCCCAACCCTACTGGCGAGCAGGTGCTTTTGGGCGAACAGGGCAGGTGGACAAAAAGTGACCGGGCTTCCCGCAGTAGAAGCACTCCCCGGCGAGACGGCGGCGTTCGCGTTCCTCCGGGAGAGGTGAGTTCGGCCTAGCTGCATGGGCTCAGGAGACGGTGGAGCTGAGAGTGTGGGGGGAGCAGGGAGCACAGGCGGGATGGCCGATCGGGGCGCGGGGGGCGGCAGGACAGAGGCCCGAGACGGTGTGAGGCTGGAGCGGGAGGAGGAAGCGCGGGCGACACGTTCCCTCTCTCTCTCCCGCAGGCGGTTGTCGAGGTCGGTGGCTACCTCGACCAAGGCATCGAGACCCTCCGGGGCGTCCCTAACGGCCAGCAGGTCTTTGATCCGATTATTGAGGCCGTCCAGGAACACGCACCGGAGCGCCTCACTGTTCCAACCCGAGTTGGCCGCCAGAATACGGAAATCCACCGAGTACTCCGCCACGCTCCGATCACCCTGGCGGAGGGAGAGGAGGCGACCAGGCGTCTCTCTCCCTCGCACCGGGCGATCGAAGACTCTCCGCATCTCCTCAACAAAGGAGGAGTAGGAGGAGAGAACGTGGGGCTGGCCCTCACTGATGGCAGCGTACCAGGCCAAAGCCCGGTCGCGGAGTAACCCAGCGATGTAACAGATCTTAGCCTCGTCGGATTGGAAAGACACTGGTTGCCTCTTGAACACCAGGGCGCACTGAACCAGGAAGCCGTCACACGCGCCCAGAACGCCAGAGAATTTATCAGGCTGGGAAACGGGTGTCTCGCGGGGAGAGAACGCGCCTACTGGGACGCTTGGGACAAAATCAGCAGAGAGCGAACAAGGAGGAGACTGAGAGGGGGACAGAGGGCGAGTGGAGCAGGGGTCGGGGAGCCGCGCACTGAGACGCCGAACCTCCTCGCCCAGGGAGCAGAGCGCCGCATCGGACACTGACTGGAGCCGGGCCGCATGCTGATCGAGGACCGCTCCCTGGGAGGCGACGGCGCGGATGACTTCCAGCGGAGTGGGGTCGGTCGAGGGGGGGGGAGAGGGGGAGCGTGCTGGGTCCATAGTCGCTCGATCGTTCTGTAACGGTGGGAGACAGAACGGACCCAAACGCAACGCTGAGGGTGAAAAAGAGGTTTATTGAGGAAAAAACAGGCTCGAGGCGAGGGCAGGTGGAAGGAGGGGGAGAGGCAGACGAGGACTCGGGGAACCGAGAAGCTGGAGGAACGGAGGGCACAAGGCTGGAGGCTAGGGGGGGAGGCTGGCAGACGGGTAGGTGAGGACACGGAGACGGGGGTCCAGGCGGGGTGCGAGTGGAGAAGCCGGGGGGGTGTCGTGGAGGCGGCGAGAGGAGGAGGCAGGCGAGCGAGCCCGGCTGGCCGAGCTGGGAGGCAGAGGTGAGTGAACCAGGTCAAGAGCTGCGACGATCGAGCGAGGGTGGAGTGGAAAGCCGGGGTAGATATACTGGCAGTGATGAGGCTGATGGCTGGCAGGTGCGGCGGCCGGGGATGGAGGTAAACGAGGTGCAGGTGTGGGTAGCCAGCCGGGCTCCGGAGCAGGGAGGGAGAGAGCACACACACAGAGAGAGAGAGGAGGCACAGGAGAAACCAGAATGTGAGGGAAAGGAGAAACAGGACACTCACCGACAGCCGGGCTGCCACCGCGACACATTTGTTGACTTTTGTTGCTGTTTCACCACAATTTATAGCTCTACAATAGGTTTATGATTAGTAGTTTATCAGAGCACAACATTCTTTACAAGCGTACAAAGATCTTCATAGATAGCCTCTTAATTTTGCACCAATTTATTGATTTAACTTTAATGTACATAGTCTCTTAAAATCCTGTGGGAAACACTGCATCATGCCACTAACTTTTTTTAGTATCATTAATTAATAATGGTTTTAACTTGGGGAATCTTAGTCATTTTAATAGACTGAATGATATATATATATATTTTTTAAGTTATTGGTTTAATTTCATTTTGGGGATACAATCAATTCTCATTGCTCTTCCAAACTGTGTTTTTTCAAATAGGTAATGAAATCTGTTATATAAATAATAATAAAATATCATTAAATCATGATCACCAAAGGGCCTGCTGGTACCAATATTGCCAAACAAATTCCATATTGCCCACTTCTACTACGTTAAAGTAAAGCTTATATGTGTGTAATAACTGTTGTAATATGTTTAAATTATAAGAATGTGGGGAAACTTATAACAAACATTGACGCTCCACCTTGATGCGTCCTCAGCCCCATCCTCTACACCCTGTTCACTCATGACTGTGTTGCCTCCCACAAGGACAACATCATACTGAAGTTCGGACGACACCGCAGTGATAGGACGCATCACTGGCAAGGACGAAGCGGCCTACAGGAGGGAGGTGGCCAGCCTGGTGGCGTGGTGCGAGGACAACAACCTCACCTTTAATACTGACAAGACGAAGGAGGCAACAGTGGACATGAGGAGGGAGAGGAGACCTCGTCAGCTACTGTTCACTTGAGGTAGAGCGAGTTTTAAATATCTGGGCTTTCACATCAGCGAGAACCTCACTTGGACACTGAACGCCACACAGCTGGTTAAGAAGGCTCAACAGCGGCTGCACTTCCTGAGGAGACTGAGGAAGTTTGGTATGTCACCTAAGATCCTCAGCAGGTTCTACAGGCGCGCTGTTGAGAGGATCCTGACCAGCTGCATCACCTGCAGAAAGTGGTGACTCCACTACCCTCCCTGCAGAGCATCTCCCATCACAGTCCACAGGAGAGCTGCCCCCTATCAAGGATCCCACCCACCCCCAACACGAACTGTTCACACTTCTATCGTCGGGTCGGAGGTAAGTGTGAAATCCTGACACTAACTTTTTTTAGTATTATTAATTAATAATGGTTTTAACTTGGGGAATACTGAATTAATTATTTTAATCATTACAAGACATTTTTACTTATTTACTTGTGTTGCTTAATGACAATGAATTTTTAATAATCTTGTTACATGTGTTGTTGTCATGATCAGCCTGGATCATCTGAAACCGCAGTAACAACGACACGCAGGCCTGCACGGAGGAGGCGTGGGAGGGGGAATCAAACCAGGTCAAGATCTCCACGAGCCCCGTCAGGACAGCCACACCACAGCTCTGAACCCTGGAAAACTGAAAGTGATCTTGATGCTGTCCCACAAGCCAGTAGGTTCATGTCCTGCAGATCACCAGGAGCCCAGGTGAACACACATTCAACACGCTCACCAGTGGACTTTTTCCAGCTCCATTTCTCCAAGGATAAAAAGAGGACACTCTGCAGAAACACCAACAAACAAGCAGCAAAAAACACAACAAAACAGGGAAGAAGTACAAACCAACGCTGCCCCCAAGTGGACAAAAAACAAACAAACCTCAGTGTGACATGTGGAGAGTGACAAAGCTAGGAAGAAATAAATGCCTTTAGCTGCATTTGCTTTTGTTGGAAATAAATAAACAAATAAACACAACACTTTTGTTTTTGCCCCCATTCATCATGAGCTGAACTCAAAGATCAAAGACTTTCTCTCTACAGAAGGGCAATTTCTCTCAAATATTGTTCACAAATCTGTCAAAATCTGTGTTAGTGAGCACTTCTCCTTTGCCCAGATAATCCTGGCTTGTGAAAAGAAAAACGGTTCAGTCAGTGTTTCCCCCACATACACTTTACTTTAGCGTGCCGCCCAGTTATATTAGAGGCCGCCCAGGTATATTAAGGGCCGCCCAGTTATATTAGGCGACATAATGTACCAATTTTTAGAGAAACATTTAGTTATCACGTTATCAAGTTATCAAGTCTTAACTCGGTGGATATTTGACAAGCATGTACCAGGTAATGCGACAGTAAACACATCAGATGTCATTTGTTAGCTACCAAGTAGGGTTTTTTTTTGAAAGGCTACGTCATCAACACGTCTCCTCGACATGCGGCGCAGCTGCTGCTGTGAACGGAGTCACGGGAGAAAAAGTCCAGAAGACAAGTTCTGGACTTTTTTTTTAATGTTTAAGACCCAACAGTAAAACTGTTTTTTGTATTGTATGTGAGCAGAATGTACAGAGATGTAAATCTGACCATTTATACTTCATGTGTCCTCGTTCAAATGAATTAATATGATATGTTCCTGTAGTTGTGGTAATGCTGGCCATCTGAGATATTTCCTTGGACAGGTTTTCGTTGTTGAATAAAATATGTTTCAAAAGAGTTCAAGAAAAGACTGGAGATGGAGAATTTAATGTAGCACACAGAGTACATTTACTCATGTAGCAGATACTTTTAGTCCCCGCCAAAAATGTGAAATCACTTGTCATGACTGGGATTTGAACCCAGAGCCACACAAGTGAACAGAGTTAATCCAGCAGTAATAAACCTTCACTTGTTTTTATGCTAACACATTTCATTGATTTGATCAGCTCCCAGTGTGTGAGTGTCTCCTCCCTCACTACAGCGGGCTGTCACAGGAGTTAAAGTTGCTCTTTCTGGAACTGGAAATGCAGAATTTCCCTCTTCTCAGGAGTAACAAACTCAGAGCTGTCTGTAAACCTGCTTTCTGGACTACACTTCTGATAACATATGGGCGGGTCCATTGAGAACAAAACCTACACACCAGGAAGAAGAACTCAGTCTGGCTTCAGGTTTATCAGCTGCAGCAGCTCTGCGGTCATGGCTGTATCATTAACATCATTCGTGGCTTTGTTCTCCTGTTCATGGATCTTTGTTCTGTGTCAAGGTAAGAGGAGTGTGTGTGCCATGTGCTTTAGCAGCATTTAAAGAACAAGCAGAAACTCAGACATCAGAAGACAAACATAGACAGGACAGAGTTACAGTGAAGGCAGCACAGACAGACAGCAGTCCTGACTTCAAGAGCAGCCGGTCACACGCTGGAATTAGACTGGAACCTGCTGACCGCCTAGGCTGAGTTTTAACTTTTAACTCTGACTTTATGACTTTTGCGAGCGAAAATAATATATATTCACATTAAAATATGTACAATCTTATTAGTAGTGTTGTAGTACTCGAGACCGGTCTTAAGACCACTTTTTGATGTTCTTGGTCTCGGACTCGACTGCACTTTGACTTGGTCTTGTCTCAGCCTCGAGACATTGAGGACTCGGGATTTTATTTGAAGACAAGTGAAGACTATAACTTTAGGAATATCAATAAATTGCTTGTTTATTTATTTGTTAACATCCTAACTTTGATTGGATGTAAAACATTTTGCTTCGAATGCAACCAATAATTAAAAATGTGTTGTTCCCGTTAACGACTGTCCCCCCTCCCCACGATGGGAAAGATGGAAAAGGAGTGTTGAATAAAGTAATCATTAATAAAGTTAATGATTTCAGCTCTTAGTGTTTGAATGTGGGTGTTTTTATGGGAATGTGAATCTTTCAGATCAGTTTGAGATCTCGTCATGTAATGTGGGGAACTGGTCTTGGTCTTGACTTGGTCTCGGTTTGGGCGCTCTTGACTACAACACTACTCATTAGTCCTTCAACATTTACAGTCTAGAGATATTTTGATCTGTGCCTTCTAATGAGATCTACTGAGTTAATGAGATTCTCCACGTGAAATTTGTAGGCCGGGACTCTTTAATCATTTTAACATCTTCATTAAAAGTCTAGCCCGTTGACATTTGTTGATCTGATAATAAACTAAGCTCTCATAACAACGGCTAATAAATAATATCAAGTAACTTTAAACAAATATCTAATTACCTAAATGACCAAAAATACATATTTTGTGTAAACTACAACAAAATGGTGAACCATCCTTCTTTAAAATACAACACACACTTCATTTCTTCACATAAAGATGTATTTAACAAGATAAAGATATTTCCCATTATTTTATTATTTTAAACAAAATCTATAAACGACAGGTATCAGAAAATAATGGTTTGAAAGGAAAAGTGATGAGCAGGTAGATGATTGATTAATTATGGGTTATTATTATCTTCTGTTCAATGATCTTTGAGAAATGTATAAAACCTCCTGTTTGAGATTTAAGGGCATTTTCATTATTCATACAATGTGTTTTATATCAAAGTGTGCTGTCTGTATAATGAGCTCAACACTTGACCCAGAGCTTTGTTTTAAAGAGAGAGAACCTTTTCTCTAAAGGTGAAAATGTAAGTCCGATTTTTTAAATCCTTCAAATCTCTTGTGAAAACATTACTCATGAGGACAAATTCTTTTGGTCCTTGAAATGGGTTTACCAAAGTCTTAGGGTCAGTAGAGAATTCATAATACATGTATGAAGTGTTGAGACTGAGCTGAAATAAAATAGGTCTGAATAATACCTTTAAACTACATACCAAGCTTTAGGGGATGTGTGCAAATGAAAAAGTAGCAGGTTTTCCTTCCAAACCAAACTTATAACAATATTAATGTTTTTTTTTGCAAACCAAATATTTTATATGTATTTACAGACACAGAAAAACTCTGAACTCTTTTTATTCACCATATTTACAGAATGTGCATTTTCTGTCCAGAGAAGATCTCTGTATCTACAGTTTTTCATGTGTGCTACCTGTCCCGTCCATCCCAAACAGCAGCGAATCACACCTGAGCTGTGGGGAAACTCTCTCTTCCATTTCAAAAACTCCAGCAACTTTACATTCACAAATATAAATAAATAAAATGACATGAAAGACAAAGTGTCCTCTGTGCAGAACATTATGATAAAATAGCCAAAAGTCAAAACACATTGATCATCAACAACCAACAAATTGTGAGAATAGTTTAAGTTATCAAAAGGAGATCACATAGAACAGCTTTTATTATTTATAAGTGAATCTCACTTTTAAACAAGAACATAACTTTTACACAGAATAAACCTTTACTAAAGGGACAGCCAGTTTGTCAAAGTTCATGATTAACTTACTGAAACACAAATCAGAACAGATGCAGCATATTTTAGCCAAGATGGTCACATTTAGCTTAGCACTTAGTTAAAAACAGTTTTCCCTAAATGTGTACTTCTTCACCATTTTCTCTGCTTGTCTCTTATTCTTTTTCCTCTCCTGTATATATTTTTATTGTGGACGTTTTCCTTAGCAGACTCTCTCTCTCTCTGTCAACTCAGTATTTTCTTCCGTGAGGTGATGGGGGGGTCCTTAGAGATTTTTAGAGTCTCCATTGGTTAGTTTCACACAAAATAGACAGACGGACAGGACAACCCACCAATTACGAAAGATGAAAGGCCATATTTTCTTCCTCTTAGCTCACTGTGTGAGTCACAGACAAAGAATCTATCGGTTAAGGAAATATCTGAACCATATTTATGTGCTGCGTAATCGCAGAGATATTAATATAAACATCGAGTTGACGTGGCTGCGTGTTCCACAACTTCAGGGGATTGTAGTTCGTACAGTTTACACAGCAACTACTTGATAACTTATTATTATAATTATATAGTTGTTGTAACTCATATTTTAAATTCTATTCACAATATATTCATATTATTGATTCAAATATACGTTTACCACTTTAGAATTTGACTCTGTAGGCTGCTGGATATGTTTGATCTCCTGCTTGTTCATAACTCAACAATGTCAATGTTCTGCAAAAACAGCTAAAGCTCGTCAGCGTTCTATACTTAATGAAGCTGCCCTATAGGCAGGTCTCTAGACCAGCTGACTCTGTGGTAATGTACTGCTCTGTTTATTCTCTTTTTATTAATAACTTCTCGATTTGTTGTTACTCAGTTTTTTGCTTCATCTCTCTCCAGCAATATACAAATTTCCTCGACAGTCCCAAGCAGAAAGCAGATGAAAGTAAAATGTCTCCTGTCTGATGGTGCGGAGGACGACTTGACTGACAGCTGTAGAAATGAGCAACATGAAGTCAGCGTGCAGCTGCAGCAGAGGAGTTAGTCTCTCCTTTCTGCAGCTGGGACTCAAGTTGTCTGAGAACAGGGTTTGAAATGCTGCTGAGTTCACATGTGCTGTTTTATAGAGACCTGATCTCTGCTGCTTCCATCAAAAGATGTTTGAACAACAGGAAACATTACAAGTCCTGACTGGAGGCTTTTCTCTTTCTGTTCAGAGACACAGGAGCTGAAGGTGAAGACTGGAGAGAACGCCACTCTTCAGTGTCAGAGTCACGGAGGTGCTGACATCTCACTGATAGAGTGGAGCAGAACTGACCTGAAGCCAGATGATGGTTTTGTCTTCTTATTCAGTAACGACCGCTCATATGAAGAAATCCAGCACCCATATTTTTATGGTCGAGTGGAGCTTCAAGATCCAGAGATGAAGAACGGAGACGCTTCTGTGATTCTGAAGAACGTCAACATCAACGACACTGGAACATATGAGTGTTTGATTGTAGGGAAAAACTCAAGAGACAGAAAGAGAGACGTATTTGAGTCCATCAGCATCATCGAGCTGACAGTGACAGGTGAGTGTGTAGAGCTCAGAGTGTCTCTTTGTCTCTCAGGTGAGCGTGTAGAGCTCAGAGTGTCTCTTTGTCTCTCAGGTGAGCGTGTAGAGCTCAGAGTGTCTCTTTGTCTCTCAGGTGAGTGTGTAGAGCTCAGAGTGTCTCTTTGTCTCTTTGTCTCTCAGGTGAAGCTGCTTCCTGGTAGTTGAGCTGAGAAACATCACAGATCAGATGTTTGTGTTTTAGAAAGATGTTGCTGATGAGACTTTAGAGGAAACAGCTGCTACGAGTCATGTGGTCAAAGTGCAGTAGATAATGTCTGACATTCTGTCACCTGCTGACAGCTGATACCTCACACCTGTTTCTGCTCTGCAGGTCACACAGCTGGACACATCTGGGAGGGATACGTTGGAGTTGTTTGTTTGCTTTCTCTTCTTCTTGTTGCTGTTGGTGGTTTTATGGTCAATCAAATGATTCAAAGGAGACACAGACCAGAAACAACTCCTGACTCAGAGAGTGCAGAAGACGCCCTAAACCCATCATCATCATCATCAGTCTGACATGATCCAGGTGAGTGTGTAGAGCTCAGAGTGTCTCTTTGTCTCTCAGGCCTGTCATTTTTCAACCCGCCCAGCGTGGAAAAGACGATCAGTGCCTCGTCATGCTGTTGGCTTTTTTTACCAGCTTGTAAAAACGCAGCGCTCTCATTGCTATGAACTGATAAAAGACGCTTTGGTGGACATAGGGCCTTAGGTTGCTGGGATACATAATATCCATGGAGGTGATGCGCTGCAAGTAGGCTACCTAATTTCACTGAATGTAAAAATGTCACCACAAGTCGGAAAAGATGCTCAACGCCTCGTCACCTTGCTGGCGTTTTTACCATGTTGTAAAAATGCGGCGCTCCCCTTGCAATGAACTGAAAAAAGACGCTACAGATTTAACCGTTTAGCCTGTCTCTGCTCTGCAGGTCACACAGCTGGAGACAAGGAGGGAGGAAGCAAGGAGGAAGATGTTTCACAGACAGGTGGTGTGCTCGCTGTTGTTGATGTTTGTTTTATGATCTTTAGAAAACATAAAGGATGCACAGAGCATAATTCAAGAGAAAATTCTGTAATAATGTTTATGCCTCAGATAACCAGCCGTATGCACGTGTGCCTGCTCAGCTTTCCTGGATGGAGCTTAAATAACATAACTATGTATATATGTACTCAGGGATGAGTAGTATTAAACTTTAAACTTTAAACTTATTTGAAATTCAAAATAGGATATTGCACATTTTTATTTATATGGTCAACGAGAATATTTTTGAGGACTACATTTGTGTTCCCTCAGAATACTTTTCTTCATCCTCTATTTCTGCTCAGCTGCTCTCAGTGCAACGTCCCAGTGTGGGTCAGCTCATTTAATTTTACTCTGACCTGTTCATTAAGCTGATATAGTACCTCTACTCAATAGTCATGGTTATGTAATTGGTGAAAGTGACTTTAAACTCAAACAGAGCTTGAAGTGGGCCGGTTCTCACCTGTACTTCTACTTTCACTCTTTGGCGTATCGTGATTTTGTCTTGCACTTTTAACAAGCCCCATCTGTTTTTAGCTTGCAGTGCATCTCTCTCACTTAAAATGAGGGTATTTGTTATTTTATTTTTAAATACAGTTTGATGTATCTTTGCCCATCCCTGTACTTACTGTTTGTATATGAAGCACTTATGAATTGATCAGAAATGTGAATAGTTCTTTATTGTGTTTGTGTTTAAGTTTGTTGACTTTGTCTCAAAAGAAAAGAAGGTAAGATGGAGGGTCCGTGCACGAAGTATAATTCATCTGCAGTTGTTCACATTGTTTGATGAAAACAGCTGAAATACCCCCTAAACTAAAATTTTTCATCAAACAATGTGAACAACTGCAGAATAATTATACTTTGTGCATGGACCATGGAGTCTTAAAATTTAATCTGGCTTTTAAAACACAATATAAGCAAATTAAAACTGCTTTCAAAATGTTACTAAAGTCAAGTATTTACATAATGTTGACAGTTTATTTTATATCAATGCTTCATGTTGTAGCTGTAAAACATTAATCTGCAGAGTAGCCTGTTAATACTCTGTACATGTTTTTATTTCAGTGTATTTTTTAATTAACAATGTAAATTTAATTTTTTGTACCAAATTCTGTGACCAATAAAGTTTCACTGAATTAATGGTCATTCTGATGATCACAGTTCTCTGTCTCTACAAAGCAGCTGCATGTGAACTCCTTTTATATCCTCAATCCCAGATAAAAACCTTCCTGTTCCTTCAGTCAGCGATTGTCTCCTGAGCAGAGTCTCCACTCGACTGTCATTTAGGATGTTGTGTCTCTCAGAGGAGCCATCTTTGATTATGTTTCCTCCTCCTGATCAATAACTGCTGGATCAGGATATTCTGATCCAACTGTTTCAGGAAAACTTCTTTTTCTTTGTTTCTCTGATCGAAGTGTAGAAACTTCATCTCATTATTTATTTATTATTTAAACACCTTGTCTGAAATGTCACCTTCTGCCTGCTGACTGGTTTTCTCTCAGAGTCGTGTTCATATCTTGCAGTGCAGTTTGTGTGAACAGGGTCAGTGTGGTTTGGTGGAGAAAAAGAGTTGCATGTACTTCTTCTTCTGTCATGTTTGCTGGTTGTCACAGAGACGCCACAGAACAAGACCAGAGGAAGTTAACGAGATCCTGTGAAAACAGAATGCAGAAAGAGGAAGCAGCTCTCAGCCTCCAGCAGGAACGGAATATTTTAATAAAAATATGCATTTTCTTAGTATTTCTGACCATTTCATAAACAAAATATCCACATCCTGGTATTTTGAGTGTATTAATAAATATTATAACATTTGATAAAAATATTGCTAGTATGATGCTATATTTGCAGGGCACACTTTATTTGGATAATTTGCTTACAGATAGTTTATTCAGAGAGAGAGAGATTCAGCTGTTTCACTAATAAAAACATTTTCTGATATTAGCCTGCACCACTTGGGTTAAGGTTTGATTAGTGCGAATGTTTTTAAATGTATTATAATTTCAGATAATAGTAAAGGCTACTATAGCTTACCATTAGTAGCCTATAATATTAATTCCAGTTGGAAAAAACTGCAGTTTAATTTTTGTGGGTTTCTTCAGTTATTATTGTGCACAAAACATGCTCTACTTGGTGGTCACTAACAAGGTCCATGCCAATTTGAGGTAGAACAAGATAGTTTATTTGGATAATGAGAAGTATTTATGATGAAGGGGGTTTTGTTAAGGGTTTGGTGGTGTTGAGTGATTAGGAGCGAGCCTGTTTATGATGTCAATAGCAGTGTGGTTGTCTGTGTGTACCAGAATGACTTGGACCTCGTGCCCCCAAAGAATGGCAGCGGTGATAATCGGGTACGGTTCGTCGGATGCCAACCATCTGCCTCTGTGGCCGACAAAACCTGTGAGAGTTCTGCATTGGTGTAAGGTGGTGTCTTTGGTTTGGGCTATGTGGTTGTCGGATGACTTTCCAAGAAGAAAGGAAGTTGCGTCACAATCTTGCTCATTTTACCAGTGTTGTTGGGTACCGTGTGATCGTGGAGAGACTGCGCTGCGGTGGATATTTGCAGTAAGTGGGAAAGAAAGGATCGGCCTTGTGGGATGATGTGGATGGGGGAGTTTGGGTGTCCAATGAAGAGAAAGAGATAGGTGCTTGGTATGACACAGGGGGATAGTTTGGACTTCGCACTTCCACTCGGTGTTGTCTCGGCCTCGAGACATTGAGGACTCGGGATTTTATTTGAAGACAAGTGAAGACTATAACTTTAGGAATATCAATAAATTGCTTGTTTATTTATTTGTTAACATCCTAACTTTGATTGGATGTAAAACATTTTGCTTCGAATGCAACCAATAATTAAAAATGTGATGTTCCCCTTAACGACTGTCCCCCCTCCCCACGATGGGAAAGATGGAAAAGGAGTGTTGAATAAAGAAGTTAATGATTTCAGCTCTTAGTGTTTGAATGTGGGTGTTTTTATGGGAATGTGGATCTTTCAGATCAGTTTGAGATCTCGTCATGTAATGTGGGGAGCTGGTCTTGACTTGGTCTCGGTTTGGGCGCTCTTGACTACAACACTACTCATTAGTCCTTCACCATTTACAGTCTAGAGATATTTTGATCTGTGCCTTCTAACGTTTAATGACCATATATTGTTAATAAGATTCTCCACGTGAAATTCTAGATGTTCATCTTTTGAGCAATTTACTTTAATATCCGACATATTTTCTTTGTGTTCACTTATTTTTTTGTAGGCCGGGACTCTTTAATCATTTTAACATCTTCATTAAAAGTCTAGCCCGTTGACATTTGTTGATCTGATAATAAACTAAGCTCTCATAACAACGGCTAATAAATAATATCAAGTAACTTTAAACAAATATCTAATTACCTAAATGACCATAAATACATATTTTGTGTAAACTACAACAAAATGGTGAACCATCCTTCTTTAAAATACAACACACACTTCATTTCTTCACATAAAGATGTATTTAACAAGATAAAGATATTTCCCATTATTTTATTATTTTAAACAAAATCTAGAAATTGACAGGTATCAGAAAATAATGGTTTGAAAGGAAAAGTGATGAGCAGGTAGATGATTGATTAATTATGGGTTATTATGCAATTATCTTCTGTTCAATGATCTTTGAGAAATGTGTAAAACCTCCTGTTTGAGGTTTAAGTGCATTTTCATTATTCATACAATGTGTTTTATATCAAAGTGTGCTGTCTGTATAATGAGCTCAACACTTGACCCAGAGCTTTGTTTTAAAGAGAGAGAACATTTTCTCTAAAGGTGAAAAATGTAAGTCCGATTTTTGAAATCCTTCAAATCTCTTGTGAAAACATTACTCATGAGGACAAATTCTTTTGGTCCTTGAAATGGGTTTACCAAAGTCTTAGGGTCAGTAGAGAATTCATAATACATGTATGAAGTGTTGTGACTCTACTTTCACCAAATGTTCAAGGAGCTGAAATAAAATAGGTCTGAATAATACCTTTAAACTACATACCAAGCTTTAGGGGATGTGTGCAAATGAAAAAGTAGCAGGTTTTTCTTCCAAACCAAACTTATAACAATATTAATGGTTTTTTTTGCAAACCAAATATTTTCTATGTATTTAAAGACACAGAAAAACTCTTTTTATTCACCATATTTACAGAATGTGCATTTTCATGTTTCAGTTTCTGAACTATCGTGCCATGCTGCAAAACAGTTTCTGTCTGAAGAAGATCTCTGTATCTACAGTTCCCCTTCGAGGGAACTCGGCGAAGCAGGTCTGAACGTGAATGAAATCACTCCAATCCTATTGGCTTGTTGCTAGAACGGTAAGGTGTGACGGAATAGCCGGAGGAGTATAAAGCACACCTGTACACACTCATCATTAGCTTTTTTCTATTCAGCAGGCGCTTTGTATGTTGTTTGAAGAAAGCTCCAGTCCTACGAGCAGTATGTCTTACCTGAAGAAGAAGTCTACCAGCATGACCGGCAACCAGATGTACAGAAGGTGTGTTTTTTTTTCTTGCCCTCGGTACATCACGGATGGAGATTCTCATGAGATGTGTGTCTCATGTTTGGGGATGGAGCACGCCCGGGCAGCTCTCGAGGGGGCTGCCTGCGCCCGTTGCGAAGCCCTTTCTGTGCGGGTACTGAGGTACAGCATGGCTCTCTTTTCCGAGGATGGCCGGATGTGTACACCCCGTGGCGCGGGCCGACCGAGGCCGACCGAGGTCCCCTCCGCCGTGGCAACAGGTGATGTTATCCCGCCGTTCACACGTTCAGGACGCACCTGCCACCATCGAGTCCACGCCATACTGCCTGCCCCGAGGGTCTGCGGTCAGGCGGTGTCCCGACTCACTCACCGTGGATCTTTGGCGGCTCCCCCCTGCCGTTCTGGGGCTTCAGGGGTCCACCAGAAGACCACACGAGACACCGACCACCAGCCCCGAGGGGCTGGTTCCGTTGGCAGACTTTGCAGAGGCTTGGCGGAGCCTGACGAACATTTCTCCGTGGGTCCTGCGCACTGCCATAGATGGGTATCGACTACAGTTCAAAACCCGCCCTCCAAATTCAACAGAAGAGAGGGGGTGGTTTGGACTGTGGTCTGCCTGGAGCAAGGTCCGGTGTTGGGAAAGGAAGTTCGTACTCTGCTGAGGAAAGGGGCCGTGGAACGTGTCTCCCCCCCAGACAGAGACGCCGGTTCTACAGCCGGTACTTCATAGTCCCCAAGAAGGACGGAGGGCTGCGTGCCCTATTTTGGATCTGCGGGTTCTAACCGGTCTCTGAGGAGATTCAGGTTCAAGATGCTCATCATCCCCGCCGTCATGACGCACATCCAATCTGAGGATTGGTTCGTCACGATAGATCTAAAAGACGCCTATTTCCAGGTCTCCATCCGTCCTTCTCACAGGAAGTTCCTGAGGTTTGCCTTCGGGGGTGTGGCTTACCAGTATCGGGTTCTTCCATTCGGCCTGGCACTTCCCCTCGCACATTCACCAAGTGTATGGATGCAGCACTGGCCCCGCTGAGGCTCCAGGGCATCCGGATTTCAACTTCATCGATGACTGGCTCATCCTAGCCCAGTCTCGAGAGTTGGCGGTTCGGCATCGAGATGTCGTTCTGGCTCAACGCAAAGAAGAGCGTGCTGGCGTCCACCCAACGGACTACGTTCCTAGGGGTTGTATGGGATTCGACAACGATGCGGGCACAATTGTCTCCGGCACGTGTCGACACCATATTGGCTGCCGTGAAAGGGGTGAAGTTAGGCCACGCCATCACTATGAAACACTTTCAACCAGTGGTGGCTAAGGAACAAGGGTTTTTCCCCGAGGGGAAATCCTCTCCGTCTGATTTGGGTTACGCACAAGTGTCTTCGTTCCCTATCATTTTGGAAGGAAACTTGGTTCCTGTCCCAGGGGCCCGTGCTGGGAGGGTCTTGTCGCCGGCTGGTTATTTCAACAGACGCCTCCCTCACGGGCTGGGGCGCGGTCAAGGACGGCCGCTTTGCAAGGGGATCCTGGCAGGTGCATCAATCCGAGTGGCATATCAACTGTCTCGAGATGTTGGCGGTGTTCCAGGCTCTAAGGAGTTTCCTGCCCGATCTCCAAGGCCACCACGTCCTGGTTCGTTCCGAAGAGAACAACAC